TTTAGTTGGATTCCTCTTCACTCAGATGCTGTTTGTGAAGTGTTTTTTTTTAATATTCAGGACATTGTGTTCATTTGTGCAGCTGGTGTGAATGAAAGTTAAATCGTCCATGTTTGGGAAAAACACACTTTTAACTGCAAAGTCAAAGTCAAAGGTTACAAACATTTTTTTTTCACACTTAAATATAATATAAATCAAGTATCTCCTCTGAAAATAACTCTGTGAGTCATGACTGTCTACAATGGGTGTAACACCCGAGTCCCACTGTCTGTGATGTTTTCAGAGTTTTCAGAGTCCTATCTTCAGTTTGTTTACATCGCCAGGACGGCCGGCTGACTCCTCCCCTCGTGTATAAAAGTTGTTTAATTGAGGGACTAGAGAAAAGAAGAATAACATACTGTACTCACTGCTTAACTGTGTTTCTAGATCACGCTCATTTCAGGTAAATTTACATGCAGTGTGAAGATACGAGCAGAATAAAGATCGCTAGCATTAGCATGCTAACACAACAATGCAGCGCGAGTTGTTTTGGTTTCATGCTGGTGCTCAAGGGCGACATCTGCTGGATCAAAAAATGCATATAAAGCCTTTGATGGAATGAATGAGTATCCTCCTACGTAAACTCAGTATATATTGGACTTTTTGGTTGTATTTAAATAACCTGTCAATCAAATAAGGAGGGTATTGAAGAATCCCTTCGACTGTAAGACCGAACAGTAAAAGCCTGTCAAAAAAAATGGGTTGTCTGAACTCGGAAATTCAAAACAGTTATTAGAACGCGTTTTTAGTTTCAAGTAAACAGTGCTCAACCGATTTAATTTTTTTTTCATAATTGTACAAATTGTTTGATCTGATCTGCATGACGTCACGGTCACGTACGTACGTGCTGTCACCTGAAGGAGAGTCCGCCATGTTTGCTCTCACATTGACTCAGTAAGAATGAGCCAGACACGCAGAGTGACTTTGCAACTTTACAACAATTTGGACACAACAAGGAGATATTGTTTCGTTTATGGAGCAAATCGCAGACGTTTGAAGGGACTTTTGTTCGGACATGCAGGAGTTTTCTGTCTCTACTCGCTGAATGCACTGACTGACTATCTTTGAGCTAATCTGGTGAGTAATAACTTATTTTATCACATTTCATTTCTTCATTTGATGAAATAGTTCTCATGTCCGCAGCTATTTCATGCATTTAGTATGAAGAGTGAATACTGTTTTGTTTTACTTTTGTGGCGAAGTTAATTAATGAATGCAGTTTGCCCTATTCAATGTGAAAACATTTTAAAACTAGAAATAAGTTTGCTTATATTTCTTTAACTTTTCAAGTAGACACTAAGTCTTTATATAGGTTTAAAATTGCAATGTTACTCGACCGCTTTTTTTCTTGTCGACCTCCACATGTGGAAGGCAGGCAGCTCTCTGTGCAGTCAACCAGAGGTCTTAACACAGTTTGTTTGAGTGCTATCATTTGTTATGCTTTTCTGAAAGTTTGGTAAACTCTAGAAATAAGGCTGGTAGTATAGAAAATAACTAACTTAACTTTAAAGCTGGTGTCTGTACATTTGTGTAAAATAACCTCCAGTATGTGAAGATACTTGACCCCGTCCTGAAGTGATATTTACCATGGACCAGAGCTAAGCGGGAGCTTTCTCCTTGTGTTTTGCTTAGCAATTGTTAAATGAGTAAACACTGTTTATCCAGAAATAAAGACACTGTTCTGCACCAATAGGCTAATAAAACAAGTTAACAAAAAACTAAATCTTTGAGCCCTCCTGCCAGCACTCTGTAAGTCACGTTACTCCTTACTGTAAATAAACTGTAAAGATACATTTCTGCAAAAATGTACAGCTTAGCTAATTTTTTATTTTCTTTGTCTTAAGGCTTAAACACAAGCAACTTGGTTATATCTGGAGTCTGCAATCTGGTAGGTATTCAAAGCACAGACTTTTAATAGACATTTATTGTGCACAATCGCTGTGAAGAGAATACAGATGTGAGCGATGCACAAAAGGGAAATGTATCTAAAACCTGTTCACTGTCTCATCATTCTATGCTTTGTTGAAGGGCCCCACTTATTGTTCAAAAATTTCTTTCTGATTCCAAATTTACTGCAGACCACCTTTTCCCTGAGGTGTAAAGAGGTCGTCAGTGATGACTTGCCTGTTGGAGAGATCCTGGAGCGCTGGCCTGCCCTAAAGATGGAGTCACAGGTGAGTTTTTTTTCTTTACTTTTGTGTTTTGTGTGAGCAGATGAGGCTGTGAGCCTGACAGGTTTCCTGACATTAACAAGTGTAGGGATCTCAACGTCAGTCACTAAATCTGACAAGCATTTAACAAATTAAAAGTTTTTTCTTGTTTAAATGTGTTAACACCTTCATTTTCCTTTTCTTTTGAAATGCACTTCAATGTAACTTACAAATCTGTTTTTTATTTTTACAGATCTGTGCAAAGTTTCACAGCATTACAAACATCAACCTGAAAAACCACTTCTATGCTGAGTTAGACAGACTTGTCTTAAAGGGTTTGTTCAGGAAAGCTGCACGCACAGGGAAGGTATCCGAAGTCCTGGATCAGCTCTTCAACACTTGTGACCTCCAGGTGAGTTGATTATACTTGTTCATGCATGATAATAAAAGGGCTAAATGACAGTGTCATTGTTGATGGATGACAGTCTTCTATCATGAAAGACTGTTTGGAAAAATCATAATCAAGTCTTCCACTCATTATATTGTCATTTGACAGTTCGGTAAATATTACCCAACCTTATTTAAAGACATCATAGGGCTATTTCTTGTGATGAACTGTGTGCCTTCCCTGTTAAGCATTTAAAATTAAGAATAATGTTTTGTCACACTTAAGGAACAAGTTGACGTCAGTGTCCAACGTGCTGCTGTCCTCCGCGCTCTCCCTACATATCTGTATGAGGATGACTCCAGGTTTCTGAAGCTGTTGGATGTAAGTCAACATATTATTTAGAATTGTAATGTGACTTTTGAAGTCCTGGATGCTTGTCAGATTTAGTGACTGATGTTGAGATCCCTACACTTTATATTCACAAAGTAGTTACATGTTAATGTCAGGAAACCTGTCAGGGCCACAGCCTCATCTGCTCACACAAAACACAAAAGTAAAGAAAAAAAACTCACCTGTGACTCCATCTTTAGGGCAGGCCAGCGCTCCAGGATCTCTCCAACATCATCTATTTTACTCAGATTCTGTAATTTTGGAGAATGACTGCCAATAATAATAATAATTGTCCTGCAACATCTATCATGCACTGAAGCTTAGGTAGTTACAGTTCTCTGTTCTTGTCTTTAGGTGGCCCTGTCAGATGAATGCAAATCGACAACATACCAGCCGGGCTCCTCATGATCAGTGCCACTTCAACAGATGAACCAGATCTTCTGCCCCAAGAAGGTTGCGCTTGAGGGTAACACAGTTGTCGATTGCACTGCATCTAAGTTACCCAAAAGTCTGGGTCTCAAGGATGGCAAGTTGAAGCCTAGGTTATTGAGCCATGTTTTGACATGCTGCTTGTACTGAGCCAATCATTTTAATATTTACAAATGTTTGTTAGTATGTAAAATCTTGAACTGGGGATAATGTAAATGTTTTGATCATAAATGATCATAGGCTGTTTACCAAAGTCCTTTCACTAATGCATTTTCTGGTAGGTTTTTTTCATAATCACTGTAATGTTTGGATGATGTTTCAGTCCTTTAATAAAGTGATTTGCATTTACAGTTCTGTGTTAAAATGTGTTTAATTTTCACTAAGAATTTGTGTATTTCAGGATATTGTGTTAACGCAACTTAAAAACATTGATGTAATCAGTTTCAACAAATGTTTTAAGTACTTCAAAATATAGGTTTGAGTTGGAATTAAGTAGAGTTTTTAATTATAGGAAAGTTTTCAAAACTAAATGAAACTCAAAATATATATAAACATAATGTAAATAATTACTTATAGAGAACATAAATAATTTATGGTACCGCTTAACAAAGTATTTGTGTTTGCAGTACTTCATTTTGATTTGTTCTTTCAAAATAAAAAAAACATGTTAATAATACTTACTAATTCATGTAACATTAACCTGCAAAATTAAGTTAGTGTCACGTAATAAAGCCAAGTTAATAGAACTTAAAAATGATGTGTCTTAAGGTGGTTCAACTTAAAATGTTCGATGTAATCAGTTTCAACTATTTTTTTGAGTTCAATTAACTTATCTGGGTTTACAGTGTAGTGATTTAAATTAAGGCTGTAATAACCCCCCATTTTTTCGATAACTATCACCTCTGGTTGAAACCAAAGACTGTAAATAAACATTGAGAAAGCCAGAGTTACGTCACCCATTGGTTACTGATGGGAGCTTTGAGAGCCAGTTGATGGCAGTCTCCAATGCAGGAAATCCTGTTCAACCTAACTTTCAGTCGACCTAAAGACAGGCTGAGAGCTGGAGCTGAGGCGGGTTTTAAGACTCCTGAGAAATAGCTACACAGAACCCACCAATCAGTCAGATCAGCTACTCACCTTATCATGAATAACTCTTATCCTTCTTTAAAATCAAAACAGATCGAGACATGAGATATTCAGAACAATTTAGTTTTTTTGAACCAGGCTGTAAACATGTTAGTTTCTGTTGTAGAAACGGGCATTTTTAAATGGGTGTGTATGGACTTCTGGGGCTTCTGCAGCCAGCCTCTAGTGGACACTTGTGGAACTGCAGGATTTTTTAGTAAGTGTGCTGACTAGTCTCCTTTCTCTTGCTGCATTTGTGACGCCCCTGCGCCTACATGATGTGTGTATAACCGCTCCCTTTATAAATAATATTACCACTTTTTTATGATGTCTAATTTCCTTTTTCACCCAAAGAGATCCAGGAAAATCCAAAATGAACAATTGTCCCTTTTTTAAGCACAGATGCTGACACAGGGTTTGAAATGTGTTGTCTGCAGACCCTCTGTTCATTTGTCCTCTGTCTCTGTCTAATATCTCAGGCACTGGAGAAAGTGGGAAGAGCACATTCATCAAACAGATGAGGATTATTCACGGCACCGGGTACTCCGACGAGGACAAAAGAGGATTCACTAAACTGGTCTATCAGAACATCTTCACAGCCATGCAGTCGATGATCCGAGCCATGGAGACGCTCAGGATCCCCTACAAATATGAGCACAACAAGGTAAAAGACATCGCATCACTCCAGCTTTTCTAAAAATCTTTAAATAAAAACCTGAGAGAAAGACGTCTGAGACAGTCTGAGAAGAAAGACCAAACTTAAGTTTATTTTTAGGGCGCTGTCTATCTTATTAGAAACAGCTGTTCATAATCATTTCCTGTCTTTTTTTTACACTTCCTCCAACACTCCATCTCACCCTGTGTGCATTTGTGTTTCCTTGAGTGTTTTTGTGCATATTTAAACACAAATCCACATTTGTAAATACTCAACAGAGGTCTCTGATGAGTAAGCTTTTTCTTAAATTTGATATCTGCCGCTTTTCTCACTTTAGCTGGTGATTAGTCCCCTCCAATTTGATTGGTCTGAGGCAGCATTATGGCCAGTTTCAGAGCTGTTTCACACCTGCTCAAAATGTTCAGGGTGAGCTGCATGAGTGAAGGCAAAAAGCCAGATCTTGCACCCAGACTTTATTTGTATTTATTCCCCGCCAGCCCACTGGTAACATTTCATGAAGAAGTCCATGTGAACAGATGTGTGAACGCAGCAGATCATGTTGAGCAAAATTCACTGTGAGTGATTGGGGAGAGTCATGGCGTTTTCGTTTTCAAAGTAGGGTTTAAGGTAAAACGAGGTAATCACAACTGATCATGTGCATACTTCCAGTTATCAGTTAATGTGTTATCTCCCGTGACATCCGGCCAAGCACATTCTCAGGCTGGCAGAAATATGCAGAAAGAATGTCGGGACACCACATACCAGGCAAAGAGCTGAGCCAAATCTCAAACACCTGTGCATTAGAAAACACCTGAGAAGAAACCATTAGATGTCAAATGGACCCACAGCTTGTTTGTTTAAACTTTTAGCAGGTGCTGTTGGCGTGCTGTTGTCGTGGTTAAAGGTTCTTCTCTGTGTTTGCTTTCGCTTCCCTCCATGCTCATGAAGAACGAAACTGAATGTGCTGTTTCAGCCGAGCAAACGGCCATGTTACTCACTTTGAGAACAATGGAAGTGAGTTATATTCTGAGTAAAAATGAAAAAGTCAAGTTAAGCATTTTCTCTTTTTCAAAATTTGAGTTTGTAGTTGCCTCCATCAATCCTGCTACTTTGGTGAAGTCAATCCAGAAACATTCAGTCAGGATAAAGTGGAGCAAACCCCAAAGTCTTTTTTTTTATTTTATTTTTAAATACTTTATTAATCCTAAGGGGAATTCTGGTTTACACTCTGTTATTTAGAGACATGCTTCTCACACACATTCCATATTTTGGTCCGCACCAGGATGAGGTTAAAAAGGGAACAGTAATACTTTTGACATGGTTTTTCTGTGACATCATACAGGAAGTAAAAATGAAACCTGTTAAACATGTTGACTGTTGCTCTCTTCACATGACTGTAAACATCTCGATAGCATTTGCATTTAGGCCATGGAAATGTTTCTTTTTGCTATTTGGTTGTTTTTGAACCCGTCAACTCAACCAAAACAACAAAAGCAGCTATGGTCAGAGATCTTTACTCACACATACACTAAAATATCTAATGAGATCCCGTATTTTATGAAGACTCCTTTAAATAAAATAAAATATAAAGAAATCATCCTTTACACAGCTGTGTATTTTGTTATGCAGATGTTGAGTTCTGCTCAGAGAGAGGGAGAGAGGTGAACTGACCGCTCTAGATGCACCATAAACTATATCAATATAAAATATATTTTTTCACCCGACTGTATATCTCATTTGAAAATATATCGATGTATCTTAGAAACTTGGTATATCGCCCAGTCCTAATTCATATCCTGGTCCTGCTGAAACCAACTCCACTCTCTCTCTCAACATTTCCACTCTCTCTCAAGCCGTTCTTTCCAATAAAGACATAAAAACCCCAAAAATAATCTTTCACAATAATCCAGTGCTAAAGATAATGCATAGGAGCGCCAGCATCCATACCAGCAGAAACCTGGAACATTATGGTTAATTTTCTTTAACCTAGTTTAGTTTAGTTTAGTTTAGTTTATTTGCACATTTTTTGAAAGAAGTCAAACAGAAAAATTAAACAAATAAAAAATAAATCACATGTGCAGGTGAGGTAGAAACCCATGAGGGCTTATCTCAAAACCTCACCAAAATCAGGACAATTCAAAAACCTATGTGAGGTGATATATGAACGACCTCTACAGAATCGTCACATGGATAACTTTGTGCCTCACACATTTTGAAAGACATAAATGTGTGACTTTAATCTTGAAATCTTTTGCTTCTTTAACATGGCCCTAATACTCCGCTGGACCTTTATCAATGTTGCATCTTATTCCTTTTTAACCCGCAAGTTTTACTGGACAAAGCAACACAGCCAAATTATAATTTCAATTAAGTCGTAATTTTCAGAGAATTAAGTTGTAATTATAGTCTAAGGTTAGATGTTTTATTTTGAAAAGTAATATCAGAAAATAAGCCGACCTCCTCTGCTAAAATGAGGAACCTTATCATAGCCTACTTAAGTATCTTTAGCCTCTTTTTTAACTAACTTCATAGGCTTTGTGCAAACACAGATCTGTCTCCCTTTGTGCTGGTGTTGGTGTTCTACAATGGGGAAAAAAAGTGTGACAGTAATTTATACAATTTTGAGACAGGCCGTATTCATATGTTACTGATTCATGATAAATGTGCAGTGCTGATCTGAAGTATACATTACAAAATGTAAATGCAGGGTGAATGCTCAGACAGGCACGTACTGATCTTTTATCACGGGACTCAGGAGAGTTTTAACGGGAATCTAGGACGGAAGAACTTTCCCCTGAATAGACCCAGTGGGATTTAGATATTAGGTCCACGCTGAGCCTCGGGGTGTAAAGACATTTTCTTGATATAGAATATGAGAGTGAGAAAACGAACCAGTTATGATACGGACTGCGTAACGTTTCAGGAAGTTTTTTTAGGAAGTGGAGTAACACTTTTTCCTCTCTCGTCTCTTTCCCCCTCAGGGCAACGCCAACATTGTGAGGGAGGTGGACGTAGAAAAAGTCAACATGCTCGACAACCCTTATGTAGACGCAATCAAGAGTTTATGGAACGACCCGGGCATCCAGGAGTCCTACGACCGACGGAGGGAATACCAACTGTCAGACTCCACCAAATAGTGAGTAGAGGGGATGATAACACAGATTTAAAAGTGTGTTTCAGGTGGGATACATTTCCTCATGACCTCTGTCTGCGTCTGTAGCTATCTGAACGCATTGGACCGGATCGCAAAGCCAGGGTACCTCCCCACCCAGCAGGACGTGCTGAGGGTCCGAGTCCCCACGACGGGCATCATCGAGTACCCGTTTGACCTGCAGAGTGTCATCTTCAGGTGAGTGAGGAAATGTGTACGGAATCAGGAAACATATTCAAGGGAGTAGTGTTGTAGTCAAGACCAAGACATGCAGAGACCAGAGTGCTCTGAGACCGAGACCGAGACCAAGACCAAGACCAAGACATACCAGAGACCAGAGTGCTCTGAGACCGAGACAAGACCAAGACCAAGACCAAGACATACCAGAGACCAGAGTTCTCTGAGACCGAGACAAGACCAAGACCAAGACCAAGACATACCAGAGACCAGAGTTCTCTGAGACCGAGACCGAGACCGAGACCAAGACCAAGACCAAGACCAAGACATACCAGAGACCAGAGTGCTCTGAGACCGAGACAAGACCAAGACCAAGACATACCAGAGACCAGAGTTCTCTGAGACCGAGACCAAGACCAAGACCAAGACCAAGACCAAGACCAAGACATACCAGAGACCAGAGTACTCTGAGACCAAGACCAAGACCAAGACATACCAGAGACCAGAGTTCTCTGAGACCGAGACCAAGAGACCAAGACCAAGACATACCAGAGACAAGAGTGCTCTGAGACCAAGACCAAGACATACCAGAGACCAGAGTTCTCTGAGACCGAGACCAAGACCAAGACCAAGACCAAGACCAAGACCAAGACCAAGACCAAGACCAAGACCAAGACATACCAGAGACCAGAGTGCTCTGAGACCGAGACAAGACAAGACCAAGACATACCAGACACCAGAGTTCTCTGAGACCAAGACCAAGACCAAGACCAAGACATACCAGAGACAAGAGTGCTCTGAGACCAAGACCAAGACATACCAGAGACCAGAGTTCTCTGAGACCAAGACCAAGACCAAGACCAAGACTAAGACATACCAGAGACCAGAGTACTCTGAGACAAGACCAAGACCAAGACCAAGACCAAGACCAAGACATACCAGAGACCAGAGTACTCTGAGACTGAGACAAGACCCAGACAAGACCAAGACCAAGACCAAGGCAGGCCAAGACCAAGACCAAGACAAAGGCAGGGCAAGACCGAGACAAGACCAAGACCACAATTATAACAGAAAAGTCAAGGCCAAGTAAAAATGCCTTCGATTCTGAGTCAAGACCGAGACCTTCAAAAAGTGTTCTTGAGACCGGCCTGGAGACCAAGACTGAAGATTGCACAAGGACAATAAATCAATAAATGAGGTTATGGTGTTTTCCTCATTTTTACTTTTATTTAGGTGAAGTTATGGAAAACAAAGAAGGCACAGTCACAGGATAAGTTCTGCTTTCATACAGCTGAATTTAACAAATGTGTTAAAGCTCACACTGACCGTTTCCTCTCTCCCTGATGCTGCCGTGACAGGATGGTGGACGTCGGAGGTCAGAGGTCAGAGAGGAGGAAGTGGATCCACTGCTTTGAGAACGTCACGTCCATCATGTTCCTGGTGGCGCTCAGCGAGTACGACCAAGTGCTGGTGGAATCAGACAACGAGGTAAATCATCATTACACACTTCTGACAGCAACATCTGGTAAATTTTCTGTTTAACAAAACAGAATGATAATCATGTTTTCCTGATGTTTATATTTTACACTTTCCAAAACAATGTATTATTAAGTCAACGTGGATGTGCGGAGATGAAGCTTCAATCCTTATTTAAATCGATGGAAATCAGATTCTTCTCCTGCTTGGCCGCGCTCCACCTTCTTTTCCATTGGAAAGCATTTGTAAATGATCAGCCAGCTGTTTTGAATTCGACCTCAGGGCACAGCTCCATCTTGAGAGGATGTGTCCGTTTGTTAAAGTCTTTAAATGAGCAGGTGTGTCTTCATATGTGTATGTGTCATCTGTTGTTATTTGTACATGTGTTTTCCTTCTGCTGCGTCTGCAAGCCTGCAAGCCTCAGAGGAGAATACAAAGCAGCTGCATGTCTGCTGTGTCCTGACTTCATGAGATTAGATTTTATAAAGTACAGGAGATGTTCTGTTACTCTGCAGCACACACACAATGTCTAAAGGCCTCTCTTCACACAGGCACAAAACTCCTGAAAAACATTGACCAGGTGAGCCCCAGCCCAACCCCCTGGGGAAATGTCCTAAAAAAGAGGTGCTGTTCGTCAACAGGCAACGCAACTGCTTTGGGCCCCAGGCCAGTAGGGGGCAACAGAGGGCTTACAAACTGTTTTTAAAAAATATATTTATTTTTGGGCTTTTTGGGCCTTTTATTGGAGCGATAGGACAGTGGCTAGAGTCGGAATTCAGGGAGAGAGAGCAGGGAATGACATGCGGGATGGTGGTCACACATCGGATTTGAACCTGGGCTGCCCACTTGGAGGAATAGGGGGTTCCGTACATGGGGCGCACGCACTAACCACTGCCCCACCAGCTCCCCCAGGGCTCACAAACCTTTAACTGCAGCAGTAGGCTCAAATTGTGCAAAATTTGCAATGACAGTAGGATACCCCCTTAGAGGGCCCCATCTTACAGCACTCCCTGTTGGAAACTTAAGTTTGTCCTTGAAAGTCGTCAAGGCCCCCCCCCCCCCCCCAACCCAGGCAATATTCAGGAAAATTCATTGGAACAAGTTGGCGTAGGGTGATGATGTTTCTATCTTTCAAATGGTGGGAAACTAGTTTGATCTTTGAACGCCTTCTTACTCCTCTTGTTGCTCCCCAGTATGTCCTTTTCCAGTCTGTCATCATAGCACAGCGCGGGGACGTTCTCACATGTGTGCAGGAGCAACTGAAGCGCCTTCAGGAGTGTTGTGCATGTATGAAAAGGGCTTCAGAAAGATTTAGGTTGCAGGCTGTCCCGTATTTTTTTCTGGAAATTTTCAGGGGTGCATGTGTAAAAAGGGCTTTAGGGTTTTCTTTCAGAGTGTTTGCTCTGTTTAATTAAACTCTGAATGGAGTGCAAGTGGAGAAATGAAAGTCTTGAAGGCAACATGGCCGCCCCTCTCTCTCTCTCCCTCTCTGTCATCTTTACTGCTCACCCCTCTGCTGTGGTAAAGCCTTTATTAAAATCTGTAATTAATGAGTGTAAAAGACTGCAGTTTAATTAAGTGGTTAACACCCCCCCTCTCTCTCTCTCTTTCTCTCTTTCTCTCTTTCTCTCTCTCCACTCCCTCTCTGCAGAACCGGATGGAGGAGAGTAAAGCTCTGTTTAGGACAATAATCACGTACCCCTGGTTCCAAAACTCCTCCGTCATTCTGTTCCTCAACAAGAAGGACCTGCTGGAGGAGAAGATCATGTACTCTCATCTGGTCGACTACTTTCCAGAGTACGATGGTGAGAAACAGAAACAACTCTTACAGATACAAAAACGTACCTGATTCAGCCAGATGAACACTTTCTTTAAAGGGGACATATCATGAAAAATCCACTTGTACGGTGTATTTGAACATATGTTTGGGTAACCTGAGTGTCTACAGACCCACAAAATGTGAAATAAATCCATCCAGTCCTTTGTTTGTGGTCTGCATAAGTCTTACAACACAGAGACAAATGCTCCATTTCAAATGTGCTCTCCTTGTGATGTCACAGTGGGATTCTGGTAAAAAAAAAAAATCCCCTCCCCTCCCCTGGTATCTCCACCCATGGACTCCACCCCCAGACTAGAACAAAACTTTTGCTCAGGTCCGCCATTTTTATTCTCTCTACAGAGGAGTGATGTCTACCAGGAAAACTCAGGGGGGGGCTCATTGCATTTAAAGAGACACACACACCAAAACAGAGCGTTCTGAGAGAGCTGGTTTATACAGGGTCACAAACCTCCTCTGGTGCTTGATTCATGTTATATTTTGACCAAAGCACAGCACAGATGTTTCATTTAGACCACAGGGGACTGTTTGAAAAGGTGGAGGAGGGCGAGAATAAGTCCTCTTTAAAGTCTTATAGCCTTATATTGATGACTTGTTCGTATCTTGGTATGTCATGAAGAAAAATGTCATGGGCAGGCTGTCCGGAAATTTCTCGATATTCTAGATATTGTCAGGAGTTAATTTTTGAAAGGGGCATAATTTTGATATTTGCATAAATGTCATCATGCACATAACTGCACAACTCAACATCTCTTCTTTTGCATCTTTTCTGTTTATATTAAAACATTTTTAAGATCAACTGTTAGCGGAGGAGCAGCAGGTCGGACTGGAAGACCAGGTCACACACTTGCAGGACTTTAGCCCCCGTATTTGGGCACAACCTAACCACTAGGACTGCTGTTTCATAGCTTTTTATTTTGTTATTTCATATTTGTGTGATTGTTTTTCCACTGAAACATGAAGACATTTCTTTGTATTAAATGTATTTTATTAGTAAAGGGACCATGTATAATATTAAACTTTAATGTTGCCATTTGATGCTTCTACCCAGAATCCTGCTTGGTATTAATCCTAATCCTGATTCTGATTCATCCTCCCTCCCCTGCAGGTCCTCAGAGGGATGCTCAGGCGGGACGAGAGTTTATCCTCAAGATGTTTGTGGACCTGAATCCCGACAGCGATAAGATCATCTACTCTCACTTCACCTGCGCCACCGACACGGAGAACATTCGCTTCGTCTTTGCCGCCGTCAAAGACACCATCCTGCAGCTCAACTTAAAGGAGTACAACCTGGTGTAGAGCGGAGCCACACACACTGACTGACACTATCTGTGAAGAGAAAGAACACACACACACACACACTCATATGAGATCAAATCAGAGAAGAAAAAAAAAACGTAGCGGTTGCAGAATATTAATTTATTTGCAAATTTTTGGTCCCCAAGGGGTTCACAAAAAAAAAGTTGTATATTGCTATTTAAGGAGATGAAATGTTAAGGAGGCGAGGCAGATATTTTGGAGGACTTTGCTGTTGAACATGTGCGTCAACAATCCTCATTTCTAAGGCTTTGCGCATTGTGAGGTTTTGCATTTTTTTTGTTGACATTTTTTGACAAAAAGAAAACGACTTTGTTCACTCGAGGTTATGGTGTGGAGAGAAATGTAACGAATGCAATGTGCTCCCCCTCTCTGCCTTTTTATACACATGAAAAAAAAGTCTCTTTGTGACAGAAAGGCCCTTTAGAACAGGCGTAAACTGAGATTTTAACCTTGATTTGGTATCAATTGACTTCCATCTTTCGTATTGCATTGCATTGACTTTGGTACCATGCGATGAGCTGAGCATGTCTCACCATGAAAGTACATTACGCCCGGCCTTTGTTTGTCATGTTTTGAGTGACAGACACATGACAGTTCTGCAGCATTAACGTAAACATAAAGTGAACAAGTTTGAGAGAACCCGGCTTTAAAATGCTTTGAGCTCAGAGAGATGTAAGGCTGTCAAAATGTCCACTACTCAGATATTTTTTTGACACTTTTTTGATAACACGTATTTCAAAATAAAACAATATCCATTTTTTTAATGACCAATACTAGCAAAAAGTAAACAAACTTAAGAAAAACCTCCACACCTTCAGTCAAACTTTAACCAAAAGCTGCCGAGAACAAGATGGAATTCACAGGTCAGCAAATACTTCTACTTCCCCCGTAGTCCTTTTGGCCTCAATGATACATGAATGTCTCTTACAAACAAAAAGCAGAGGCGGTTTAAGGTCTAAATTGCAAACATTTTTCCGGCACAGAAACTCATCTGATGTTTTTGTGCAATTTATAAGACGGTGTAGCTTTCAAGTTTTGGTGATTGTAATCAAGAAACCGCCTAATACTGGATGCCTCTGGAAGCCTCTATTTTTCGTTGCCATGGTATCCAAACGGGTATCGATATGGTTTGATTCTGACTTCGTCTCGATGTTTAAAAATTCTGGTATTGGGACAACCCGAGGATGCACATGCAGATCTGGGCTTGGTCACGTAAACCCTGATGGAGCTGTGGGCGTCTCACAGACTGGAGGGAGTAGAAGAGGTTATAATTTATGAGACAATGTTTTGTTCAACTGTGCCACATTAACGCTTTTTTTTAAGATGGTAACGTGTGTATTTATTGCCAATGCCAAAAACGACAGACGCTGTTTACAACTCCAATGAAAAGTGTTGACCGAGTTATTCCCGCAGTTTAAGACGTATTTAACAAAGTAAACAGTATCCTCCTCCAATCACAACGTCAGGCTTTGCTGCAGTGTCCAATCACAGCCTGGCCGTCTTGATTTATTGGAGAATAACTCAAACTAATTACCTTTAAGGGCAAAGTGTTGACATTCAGTGTGTACCAAAGTGAGCCCTTCTTGTCTCTGATTTAAAACTCTCACTTAAAGTATTTTTTTTCTAACTATTTCCAAGAACACAAGCCTGTAATTTACATTTTTTTGAGGCATAGTGCAATTATGAATGCTATAATCATTGTACATACATCTCTCTCTCGCTCTCTCTCTCTCGCTCTCTCTCTCTCTATATATATATATATATATATGGCAGCATCTTTGTTGGCTTTGTAATCATTACTTTTTTGGCAGATTGAATGTGCGGTATTGGAAATATGTATCTATGTAATTGTATTGTATGTCTAATGGCTAATTCATTTTTTGGAAGAAAGAAAAATGTTATTTACATGTTTGGTTTGGTTTCCTTTTCTTTAAGAGAAGATTGTAAGCTAAGAAAAAAATGTTGAGCCTCAGAAGTACATAAAGAGAAATATTATCAGGTAACACTTACAGTACTCGGCTTGTTTAGTTGACCCAAAGAAAAATAATGATATCAAATCATTCATTGCTGTAATGTGATCCTTAAAAGCAGGGTTGGTCATTTTCTAAAACTAGCATGATTTTGAAAGTAGCATTCCCTCAGTGCTCCGTCTGCACCCCCTCCCCCCTCTGTGCTCCCTCTAAAGCCACGCCCCCTCACTTACATGCACGAGTGCCGTTGTTCCACAAGCGGACCTCAGCTCATCTCTTGGATTGTGTAGAAACTACGTCGTCTCATGTCTCATGTAGCGGTACGTAAACTCACAGTATAAACTCCTAAAGTCATCGGTGACGAGCTTTGAGTGTTCGATAACGAGCAGGGAGACAGGGAGGCGTCTGATTGGTTCATCAGATTGGCGCCTCGTGGCAAACATTGGTCAAAGCTTTTACAGGCTTACAGATGAACTGATACAGATGACGGATTTTCTTTGTTCCTTTTTCAGAGAACATGAGTTATTAATTTCTGTCAGGACCTAAAGACAACTTCAAACAAAATCTGAAAAAGTGGATCAGGAGAAAATGACTAACCCTGCCTTTAATGTCATCGCACAGCACCTCAGGGAATACTGATCAACTGCTATGTTTTAGATGACCCTGAGGAGGTTGGCGACTCAGGCAGTGACCCACCACTAACTCCTAAATGAAAAATCACGACACACATTTCTGATATTTTTCAACCAATCAGATTATTTAATATAAAATTGTGCAGTTTGGACCTCAGGCGGAACAAAACACATGACAGAACAAAGGAACGAATCAAAACAATTAAAAATCAATTCAGACTTTTTGACTGCAAAAAAACAATTCCAGGCACATATTCATGGCCCACTGGAAAAGGTTCCTCAATCCACTTTTGAGTCCCGACCCAGAGGTTGAGAACCACTGGACTACGGACATCAAATAGTGGACATGAGGCATCCCAGTGAAGGACAGTGAGGCAGCAGATAAGTGTCTTCATCTTGAAACAAGATGCACCTGAAACTTACCAAGTGTATTTTACACAAAGAGAAAAAAAAAAGTATATCCAGATAACTGCTTAATTTAATGTCCTTTCATAATGAAGTTTAACTTTTAAATGGTAATCTCAACAGAGATAAAGTTATCTTTTAACAGTAAAATACATTACACTGCAAAAACTCAACTTTTATCAAGTGCATTTGTCTAGTCTCTATCTTAAAACTTCTTATTACTCGTATTTTAAGCCACATTTACCTCACAAGTCCTCATGTAAACATCTCATAAGATATAACAAGATTGATTGCTTGTTCTTGTTCTGAATTTAAAAAAAAACATTATTAACTTGAGATGTAATGTCTGACTTCAAGAAACCTAAGTAAAATCTGTCAGCCCCATTGGCAAGTTTGTACTTATTACACGCATCTTATGCATGCCTTGTCTTTTTGCTTGTAATAATTCAAAATAAGATATAAGATAAGATCATGACTCTTCAGGTTAATGTGGCTAATAAAAAGAGCAATTCAATAATTTTGATTACAAATAAAATCAATACTTGCTAAGATTTTATTTTTTTGTAAGATTTATTTTTGGGCTTTTTGTGCCTTTAATGGAGAGATAGGACAGTGGATAGAGTTGGAAATCAGGGAGAGAGAGAGAGTAGGGAGTGAAATGCGGAAAAGGAGCCACATGCTGGATTTGAAACTGGGCCGCCCACTTGGAGGACTACAGCCTCCATAAATGGGACGCGGCCACTAACCCCTGCGCTACCAGCGCCCCAAGATTCGAGTTTTTGCTGTAAATTAAGTCAGCATGAACCTCAAAGAACAATCCCTTAAAACACACCTGACAGTAAAGTGTGAACACAGGTCTGACAGTGTCACTCTTGTCCTCCAGAGTCCAGGTGGAGGTGAAAGTGCGTCCAGCTGTCTTATTCATTCAGTTTGGTTTCTTTCGAGATTAAAATAATCAAATGAAGCATTTATTTATAAAACTTAGTGACTTCATCAATGCTGCTCACGTTTTGAACATCTGGCTTTCAGTGTGAAGATACAGAGTCTATGATTCATTCATTCACTCTTTGTTGACCTTTCCGCCACCTAGTGGCCGTTTGGAGATATGCATGTTGTAGGATGCTTTACTTCCCTTTTCCTGATGGGAGGATGTTCCGCAGAGGTCCTGAACTTTTTTAACATACATTCATAATGGAGAAACTTGCACTGAAAGCCTAAAATACGCACCAGCATCCAAGACATGCCTTAATTCTGTTTGCAGAGTCAGTTTGCTGAACGATCCTGGCGCGCATATTCCAAAAATAGACCGAAATAATTACGGAAGATCCATTAACACAGAACAGAACTCGCTTTTTCATAATTGACAGCACACGTATTTTCATCTGTCTACAATTTCTACCACTATTTTCTCAAATCCAACACCTTTTCTCCTTTTGTCTCTTTTCATAATGCCTCATGCTAAATGTGTGTGTGTGTGTGTGTGTGTGTGTGTGTGTGTGTGCTGTGGATGATAGCTGCTCCCTTTTTATCCTCTTCTATTTGCGGCTTGTGCCACGCCCTCCACACTCCGCTGGATAAAGTTCAACAAGTGTCATCCAGCTCCAGTCCAACCGCAGCAACCTTAACAAAGAAGGACAGAGCACTTATTCCTAGAAACAAAAAAAAACAACCATCCCTGGACTGCATCCATAGTCTGTTTTATCCGCAGAATAATAATAAACTAATAACTTGTTTAGACTTCAGAGGAAGGAGAACAAGGCTTCACCTTTAAAGATGCTGTGCGCCTTTTCCGTCTGAATTTTGTAAAGTAAGAAACAAGAGGAGGCTTTTGCTTACAAACTCTTCACGTTAGCGGCAAGACATTGGAGACAGTTTGTATGATGGCTGGGTGTTGTATCTCTGCGGAGGACAAGGAGAACCAGAGGATCAACGAGGAGATCGAGAAGCAGCTGCGGAGAGACAAGAAGGATTCCCGCAGGGAGCTGAAGCTGCTGCTGTTAGGTGAGCATCTCTGAGCCTGCATGGGAGACCCAGTTTATCCCTCAAACACTTGTTTTGTGTCCCTCAGAGTAGGTGGCACTCTCCTGGGTCGCCAAAATGCCACCAAATAAGTCACCAGTGAAGTTATTCCACTGCTTCCGATCCAACACCTGGACGTGCAGGTATCATGACAAGTGGGGCAGCACTCTGTAATCTGTAGACGTAGCTGCTTTTGAATGATTAAATATTAAGGACTGGGCTGAATTGATGTGACTGTGCGTTAATAATGGCAGTAACTAAGAGTGTGAGGAGGTTTCATATCTATTTGTTTTTTCTACGTTTCCTTCTCCTCGCTCCTCCGGATGTGGTGCAGCGCGCACTGGCTGTGCCAAAACATCCAGGATGTAGTGCGCCATAGAGTTTAGGCAACTCTTTAAGACCTTGATTAAACTTCAAACAGGGCTCAATTTCAGTTTCACACTGTCAGTTTCACACTTTCAAACAGCTGTTTATCTTTACTGTTTATGAAAGAGACATTTTGACAGTTTGGGCGTTTGCTCGTTTCCAGTCAAAGTGCTGCCTGTTTATTTCTAGTGAAGTCCTCTAGGATGTGTGCTGGGACATTTGTGATTGCTCCATGATGAAGTGGAAATATGTTGGGTGTTTTCTCACCCTCTGTGCCTTTCAACCTCCTGACTTATCTGAGACTTTTGTAAAGGCGAGTGGAGGTGAGAGAAAAAGCAGTGAGGTGGAAAAATCAGAGTCAGAAGAGATGACCTGCCTCACAGTCAGATAGATGAGCCCAAATACATCCGAACAAATAGAAAATGAATACATTCAGAGATCTAGCTTTGAATAAGTAATACACTCTCAAATAAAAGCTAGAACTAAGGTTGACAAAACTGTTGATACTTTCGATAGCACATGTTTTATTGCGATACAATCATGTGACTTTAATGATCACTTGTATTAAAAAGTAACATTTATACAAAAAGCATATTTTTCATTAGACATATATGCATAAGAGGAATGAACCCATCATTTAAACCAGAAATTACATAATATTCGGTGCCTAGGACTTCTGTTTTTGTTTATTTTTGTTGCCGCGGTATCAAAACTGGTATCGATATAGCTTGATATTTCTTTACTAGTATCATGTCAACGTTTAACATTCTGGTATAGCTTAAACTGAAGTCTATTCAAATTAAAGTCAAGTTCAAATTTACTTTATTGGCATGAACAAATCAATGGTGTTGTTGCCAAAACAATAAAAACAATGAAATTACTATAAACATAGATCATACAGACAGTACTTACTGAAATGTTAAGATACTTTGAGGTTGAGGTGTGAGTATGATAGTGATGCTTAAACGTTAAACGTTTTGTCGACATGTCAGATAGTAGGATTCTAGCTCAGTAAGTGCTTCTAACCACTGAATTTTATTTATCATGTGTTCGCTTGCTTTGAGAACACTGACAGATCCTGAGTGGATGGAAACAGGGTGTAGAGCATGACTTCCTCTGTGCTCTGGAGGATACAAATGATTTCCCTGCAGCAGTGTAGGAGCACCTCAGGCACAGTTTCATTGTCCAGGCCTCAGCCCGTGGCGCGTTGGCAAAGCCATAACTAGCTGCTGCGGGCGCACCTCATGCAAACTTCATGCAAATATACTCCTGTGCAGGATGCGAGCTGTCGAGGCGCCTCTGCCCGCCCTCCTAGAAAGATCTTTCTTTCACAGCTCAGTGTCGTAAATTCATTACAAATCCAAGTTTACTGTTTTAATACTCCAACATATCAAGGATGGAAGTGTGGTCTGTAGTAAAGTACATTCTTCACTGCTGCCGGCTATGAACACACAAGTGGAAGAGCTTTCTGCACAGTTTATGAGGATTTAAACAACAGGAACTTATTTGTCTGTTAGTGGTTAAACAGAGTCTGATGGTCTGACTGGTTTTACAGGTCACCAAGAATGTTGACTAAATAAATTATGATAACTCGCTCAGAAGTCAGACTTTGATTTTATTAATTTGCAGAACGTTGAATCAGCCATGCTAATATACGGAAGCTCAAAAAGGACATGCATTTATATATCTCCATTTTCCATTCGGTAGCAAGAACATTTTGGGTTTGCGTCTTGAAATCGTGAGATTTTGCTCCTGATTTTTTTCAGGTGATTTCAGCTGTTTTCTACGACGGTGGATTAGGGCCATGTTAAAAAAATATTCCTGATATTTTATCACAATCAGAAGATGATATGCCAAAAGCATGTGAAGTTTCATATTTGCAAAAGTAAAGCCCCAACACCACTATTTTTGTCTGTTGCACACTGCCTTGTTAAAGTGTCTTGTGCAGAGCCAGTTTAATCTCAAAATTTAAAAGAAATATATTTTTTTAACATAGCACTAATCCTCCTTCGTAGTTTTCTGTGAGAGCTCAAGGAAGTAGCTCGTTATCAACGGGAAAAATTAAACATTTTGTGTCCACTTGGGGATTCCAGACTAAGGACTATTTCTATTCAAATTATGAATTATGTTTGGTGACTCTTGTTTTCTAGCAACTTAAGACTTTTTAAGAAAGAAAAAAGTGTGACATAAACGGCAGGCCAAGCTGACAACATACGGTACTATAATGATGCGGGGGAGTGGGATGCTATTGCGGATGGTTACCCTAGAGGGGGTTTAATTGGAGAGGGGAAAAGAACCAAAATATTACTGGCCAAAGAAATAGGCTCCATTTTCAAAATAGCCTTGAGATAAGGTAAAAAAAAAAAAAACACCACTGCCGAGCAACTCATAAAACAAAGAAACTCACTATAGCTGAGACCCAAAGGCCACCAGGCCCGTGTTTAATAGAAACAAAAAGGCTCGGTCAAAAACATCCCAGCACCAACAAACTACACCTGTAGAGCTGCTGTAAATAGCAAGCAAATCAAGGGATGCGTATGCAGAATTACACAACTCTAAAAGACACAAGAAACACAGATAGAACCACCATTGTGAGACAATTAGTCAGCACACAGAACTGCAATTCCAGGGAAAATACAAAAATAACACACCTAGTCAAAATCAGGGCCAATCAGTCACACACACACCTGACACTGCACTGAGATGATTACCTCACCACACTCACACCCTCACACATAATTTATTTAACTCTGTCATCTCGTGATATCTACTAACCTAAGGTTGTTAAGTTGATAAAGCAACGCTGGTTTTCCTGAGATAAGGAGTTCATTTCTTGAGATCTCCAGAATACAAAGAAATGTCCAGATCTTAAGAAAACAACTGAAACGTACTCATTATCAAAGAGTTAAACGAACTGTATGCATGTTCCCTTAGGGCTTTCTTAGACATACATCCAGACTGTAAAACGTATTTAACAATCTGTAATCGTCGACGTCTGTCAGAGCTGTTTAACGTTGATTTAATTACCTGGTCAGAGTGTCTCAGCGCTCTCTGTAGATTTCATTATGACGGCCACAGTCAGGTCTCCAGAGAGGACGAGGAAGGAGAACAGAAAATCAACACACACAGATTCTTTCTCCTCTATCCATTCAGACTGTACCTGAAATACTAACATTACACAAGTATAAAAATCCTTTACAGTACAGCACAGTAAATTTAGATTTTGTACTCAGCATTATTTGATTTAATGGTAAAAATATATACTTAAATTGTGTACTGTGTTTGTTCAGGAAAAGGAAAGTAAATATTTGACATGGCGCACTCTTTCTATAAGATTCAAGACACTTCAGATCGCCGGAGTGATTACATTTAAATAGTCATTTGGATGACTTGTTTGATGGTTTACACTTTATTGTGTTAGAGCACAGGGACAATTTCTGCTGTGTGTCTCGAGATGTGATTTTTGGTTCAAAACGCCGAGCCCTACAGAAGGTCCTCTGTTTGAAAAAGTTGTAAAAAGTAAATACAAATCTGAGTGCTTTTGACATCACTAAAGGATTATTTAAAGCATCCACAAAAATGTCCCGTTGGTCAGCCGGTCCCCCTTTGTCGAAATGTAACCAAGCTAATGTCCCCTGTTTGATGGATACATAAGTACACACACAAACACACACAGAGATAGCCACTATCAGTCGACATTATACATTTAAACACACACCTACAGATTCAACCACATTTACAAACTCACAGCTGTACTTCCTGGTGTTCTGAGGTGGAGAAAGTGGTGTGAATGTTACAGAGATAAGAACCGTGTGGCAAAGACAGGTAGCAGCACAGGTAACAAGGTTTCTGCCAAACAGATAGAACCACATCATAAGACACATGAATACATTGAAAGACATGAAGTAAGTAAAACAGCAAATATTTGTGAAGATTGACCACAATCATAAATACCTCTGGCTTCCGCCCCAAATTCATCCTCTTAAAATCCTCCAATGAGAGCAGAGAACGTCCCTGTGTTTAAATCTGTTTGGACAAGAACAACACGAACAACAAACAGTGACGGCTGAGGGATATAAAAAAATTAACATTCATCATCCACATGGACACACTGCATCATATTCATATAAGTTGGGATGTGAACAAAGTCCTGCGCTAATAATTATTATTTTATTGTTGTTGTTAAATGAGCACTCACAATAATGTCTCCGCTTTAGCCGACTGATGAAGCTCAAGCAAGCTATCAGCTAACTTTTAGGTTAAAAGAAAGTTACTAATATTTTTCAGGTAGTGCAAAATGCTTTCTAAAGTTTTTTTATTGGTTGGAGCTTCTTGTGACAACTGATAAAGACTTTTAGTTTAAATGTAGTCACTCAGGAAGTATGATTGGCTAAAATAACTCAAGTTAACCCTTCAACCGAGCAGTTCAGTTTTGTTATGAGTCAGTAGCACAATAAGGTAATATTTGTAGAGCAAGTTGTACGCAATACTTTTTCCTTGTGTGGAGCATATTTGTGTTTTACTTTTCATAATGGAAATAGGTTGATTAATCAATTATTTACATCCAAACTTCAAAGTATCAATAAGGATATTATCTTTAGTCAGCGTGGGCTCTTTCTGTGTGTAACTAATAAACAGTGCAGAAGAAATTAAACACAAAAAAAAACTCCAATGTTCAGCTGCTGAATTCTCGTTTTTCAATCCTCATATATTATCTGGAGTTTTGGCAAAATGACTCTGCCACAGTGATAAGAAAGTGATGCCTCTCGGATCATTTAAGTCCGACTCTCAGCAGACCTTCAGGATCATGATTTCCTCCGGTCCCAGAGCTTTTCTTCATTTCTTGCCCCGCTCATCTGAAAGAAACTTGACTTGTAAACAAGGTGCATTCAAATGCAGAAGATTTGTCTAAGCCTTGTGTGCTAAGATGTAAAGATTTAAGTATTTGTGCTGCCATGCAAAGCAGCCAGGGAGCTAGGAAAGTTCTGCAGGCTCCTCACACACTCTGCTGAGACACACACACACACACACACACACACACACACACACACACACACACACACCTTCACATGCATGCTGAGAGCCCCAACACACAAGCACGCCATCTTTCAATCTTCAGATTTGTTTAACAAATGATTTGACATCATGTGGTCTGAAGGAGAAAAGCAGGAGCTTGAGCTGTAAGAAGTGGAGAGGAACCTGACTCAGAGACACTGTGTGTGTGTGTCAAGATTTTATAGATTTGAATCTTTCATCAGTTTTTTATTTTCTCTTTTTCCCTTTGTCATGACAGTTCTGATGTTGTGTTTGAAGCACATTTTTAATTGCCTGGTTGCTGAAATTTGCTGCATAAATAAACTTGTCTTGACTTAGAATGTTGGTTTGATATTTTAGTTTTGCTATATTTGGAAAATGCTTGGTATGAGTTTAGTTTTATTAGAAGTCAGTGTTTCTTTTTTTTTTGTAATATGGATAAAGGACGAGACCCAAACTAGCAGGAAAAGTATTGTTAAATAAAAACTCTAAACATCATATAATTTAAATAATGCATTCAAATACAAAAATAGAACTTACTTAATTCAATTAACAATATATAACTCTGACATGTAGTGTTTAAAATTTGTACCGCAGGCTAAATTCCAAACATTGTAGAGAGCTGTCTCTCCCTGCCTTCCCAGAGTCGATGCTCACCATGTGGTGGACTCTGAAGCTTCAGTGTTTATCCAGCTCTGCATCGGTCTGTAAACCTTTCTGCGTTCTAACCTCGCTCCATTTTTTCAAAAGCATCTCCAATATTGATCCTAGTTTGAGCACGTTTCTGCTCGTGGAGCTTATTATAAACATGCAGCTGTTGGTTTGCTGTTCACCTGAAAAACAGAGGAGCGTCTAAAACGGCCGTGTGGTGGTGCCGTAAAACTGCATTTTTCTCTGGTCCAAACAAAAAACATTCAGGACCAGAATCTAAACTCAGAAGGAGGACATACTGGCTGCTGCATTGTTTACAGAGAAGCCAGCACTTAAGAAGAAACTGTATTTTGATAGAGCTGTCGAAGAACTGTAACTTCATTTACTGTTTTTTACCCAAATCCATTTTTATTATTCGCACTTAACCCTGACTATTTCCAACAGGTACTGGAGAGAGCGGAAAGAGTACCTTCATCAAACAGATGAGGATCATCCACGGAGGAGGATACACAGATGAGGACAAGAGGAGCTACGCCAAACTGGTCTACCAGAACATCTACACATCCATGCAGGCCATGGTCCGAGCCATGGAGGCACTTGAAATAGCCTTTGAAGAACCCAACAACCAGGTACACACTGAGGCACACTGGATCTGATACTTGTGCAATCAGGAGTTATTTTTACACCTGCACAAACTCCCCAAAAAATTCCCAGAAGTGTGCACACTGCATATGTTTACAAAATTTTCATATTTAAATCACGGTGTGGGACAAGTGCAATATTTGTGTATGTAATATGGCCGCTTCAAACTCTTTACTGTTCTTTTGTTGATGCTGTGAAATGTCTAGTTACACATAGCGTTCAAGGGTCATCATAGTGTGAACAGGTCTAGTGACAGCTTATTTCTACTTGCCTCCCACAAGTATGGCGTTCTTCTTTTCCTCAGACATCATGCAATGCCCCATCTTTGGACTCATTCAAAAACACCAACTGTTCTCCACAGCCTTAACTCTGCCTCTCAATTGGTCTCCCATACTTTTGCTATACCTGTCTCAGTTTTTTTGTTCTTTGTTTGGTCCCTCCACCATGCGAATCATCCTTGGGTCATTATTTATGATTTGGTCAACAGGGATCTAGATAATATGTGACTCTGGGAAAGGCTAAAAATGCTAATTAATATAAAAATAATTCAATCAAGAGTTGGTCCATGGACTGTGAGTTATACCAAAATAAATCACAGTTTGATGGACGGCTTGCCTCCCCCCACCCCCTTGCTCCCTATCCCTCTTCCTGCATCTTATCCCATCTCTCCCCCTATCCCTTTCCAACCCCGGTGCAGTCTAGGCCTGTGAAGGCTGTTTCATCATGAGCCGGGGATCCAGCTGAAGATTTCTGCCTTTTAATAAGGCAGTTTTTTCTTACCACTGTAACTTTTGCTGCTTTGCTAAAGTGCTCATGATGGATAGGCCGGGTCTTTGTAATGTAGCAATAAGTAAGGTCTTTTACCTGCTTTTTGTAACAAATAAAAATTGATTGATTGATTGATTGAGTTTAAATCAGATAAGGTTTCAAGTATGATCCACATAGTACCACGGTGTAAATCAGTCCCCTGGTTCTCTTTATGAATCAGACATGCTGACTAAACAGATACTCCTTTTGGTTTTTTTGTGTGTCTGTGCATCATTCATAGAGCAATGCAAGCTCCGTCCTGGAGGTGGAGGTGGATAAGGTGGAGGAGATGGATCAAAGCCTGGCAGCAGCAGTGGGGAGTCTGTGGAACGACAAAGGGATACAGGAGTGCTACGAGCGACGCAGAGAGTACCAGCTGTCGGATTCCACCAAATAGTGAGCATATCACACAACACTCTGTTATTAATATGCAATAAATATGAAGCAGGTTGATTCAACAATGTCCTTACATAAGCTTAATGAATTTATTAAAAGCTTTATATGTGATTTTTTGATCCAGCAGATGTCGCCCTTGAGCACCAGCATGAAACCAAAACAACTCACGCTGCATTGTTGTGTTAGCATGCTAATGCTAACGATCTTTATTATGCTGGTATCTTCACACTGCATGTAAATTTACCTGAAATGAGCGTGATCTAGAAACACAGTTAAGCAGTGAGTACAGTATGTTATTCTTCTTTTCTCTAGTCCCTCAATTAAACAACTTTTATACACGAGGGGAGGAGTCAGCCGGCCGTCCGGGCGATGTAAACAAACTGAAGATAGGACTCTGAAAACTCTGAAAACATCACAGACAGTGGGACTCGGGTGTTACACCCATTGTAGACAGTCATGACTCACAGAGTTATTTTCAGAGGATATACTTGATTTATATTATATTTAAGTGTGAAAAATCACATATAAAGACTTTAAGCTTTGGAACAAATTGGAACTGTAGCCTCCATAAGAGACAACAAGCCTCGTTGCTGAAAAGAGAGACTATTTTTCTGGCTCATAGTTGCTTCTTCTTTTTAAAAAAAACAAACTGTGCTAATGATATCTACTGTACATTCTTCAGCTATCTTACTGACCTGGAACGAATTGCACAACCATCTTACATACCTGACCTGCAGGACATCCTCAGAGTCCGAGTGCCGACCACGGGTATCATCGAATACCCGTTTGACATGGAGAACGTCATCTTCAGGTGAAGTGTAACATCATGCATGTTGCACGTCGTCATTTGCTCTGAAATGGTCGTAATCCCGTCAGAATTCTGCGTTCTTCTTATTATTGCGTTATTCTGCGATTCTTGAGTCCATCGTTGGAATATCGATTCTGACAACCGGATACGCAATAGACGGACATTTCGATGTTGGTGGTAGTTTGCTAGTAGTTATGCTTGCTAACTTAACTCGTTGGTCGGATTGAACCTAGCAATGTGTTACTTCCGTTTCCAAGATGCGCGTGCACATTTTTAATACCCCTGGCTGTAAAGGGATGTATTAGAACTGGCCATTCAACATGTAAACCCGCCTTTTTTGTAAAGTCTTGAGATAACATTTGTGTTGTGAATTGGCGCGAGTGATTGGTAAAAATGGATGTCTCACATGTGACTTTTGACTTTGCATACCTTCACTGATGTTGTTGTCATTGGCTCTTTTGGCAGGATGGTGGATGTGGGGGGTCAGAGGTCAGAGAGGAGGAAGTGGATCCACTGCTTCGAGAACGTCACCTCCATCATCTTCCTGGTGGCGCTCAGCGAGTACGACCAGGTCCTGGCCGAGTGTGACAACGAGGTGAGGATTCAGCTCATCATCAGATCAGATCAACCAGGCTTAAATCCCCTATGAAATAAAATAAAAACAATCATCTTTATTTATGCTGCGCCTTCATTCCTAGAACCGTATGGAGGAGAGCAAAGCCCTGTTCAAAACCATCATAACTTACCCGTGGTTCCAGCGCTCCTCCGTCATACTTTTCCTCAACAAGACCGACATCCTCAAGGAGAAGATTGTGCACTCTCATTTATCCAGTTACTTCCCAGAGTTCACTGGTTAGTATGTTTGTTTGAAAAATCCACATTTTGGGTCGTCAGCAGCTGTTAATTGTTCTTAGATACGCTGTCTAATTATGAGAAATCAGCATTGAACATTTTAAAACTTGTCCATACACACACACTGGTGAGATTTCTTTGCATTTCATTTTAATGACACAAAACTACCCGAGCTTTTGTATGAACTCAATTAAATCTGCATTTAAGATTCAGACTCAAACAAGGTAAGCACTTTGTCATTGGCTCTCATTCATACAATCACCACTAGAAGAAGTCTTAGCAGGACGTCAGATCAGGGATTAACTTTTGATGTAACACTAATTTGGCTTCTAATGAGGGTATTAATGACTAAATTCAGACCAAAGCAGTTATATTAATTTGGCAATTTGACTGAACTATAGCCTACATTTTGGGAGGATTTACTGCAGGACTATGGCATTATTTTTGCGAGGTCAGTTGAACCTACAAAAAATCTGGCAACAGAAAAGTATGTGGTAAGTGCAGAAAATCTGGTATACAGTTTAAATGTCTTTCTAAATAATTGGAAAAAGACCAGGGCAACGGTAGCCTAGTGGTCGGTGTGTGTGCCCCATGAAATGGTAAATGGACTTGAGCTTGTATAGCCCTAACTTTCTGGTTGAGAGACAACCGACTCTACCAACTGAGCCACAGCTGCCCCATGTACCAAGTAAAAAACCTGGACAAAGACAAGACGCTGTACCCTAATTTCACCATGAGCGGAGGCTGTCGTCCTTCAAACGGATCACCCCGGTTCCTATCCGACCTGTGGCTCCCTTCCTGAGTAGTTCGCCTCTCTCTCTCCCTGAATTCCAACTTTATCCATTGTCCTTTATCCATTGAAGGCAGTTTTTTCTTACCACTGTAACTTTTGCTGCTTTGCTAAAGTGCTCACGATGGATAGGCCGGGTCTTTGTAATATAACAATAAGTAAGGTCTTTTACCTGCTTTTTGTAACATAACAATGAGTAAGGTCTTTTACCTGCTTTTTGTAAAGTGTCTTGAGATAACACTTGTTATGAGTTGACGCTATACAAGTAAATTGAATTGAATTGTCCTATCTCTACAATAAAGGCATAAAAAGCCAAAATATAAATCTTCAAAAAATAAAAAACATTGGAAAAAGAAGTTATTTCATAGTTCCTTGTGCACTTAGAACCACTCTTAAGTCTAGTACGGCTTTGTGTTTGTTACATAAATATAATTGAAAGTGTCTTTTTCCGCAAAAGATGCTGAAAAATGATCTCACTCTGAATTTCAGGACCTCAGCAGGATCCCACAGCAGCTCAAGAATTCATCCTGAAAATGTACCAAGAACAAAACCCGGACAAAGACAAGACGCTGTACCCTCACTTCACCTGCGCCACGGACACAGAAAACATCCGCTTCGTCTTCGTGGCCGTCAAAGACACCATCCTCAGACACAACCTGAAGGAGTTCAACCTGGTGTGAAGAGGGAGCAACATAGAACAATTAGATTTTTACTCAGTTCTTTATTCTTGTAGCAGTTAACAGATTATTTAGCTCAGTGGTTGAACATTTTAATATTCTGTGCTGTAAAAAATCTGGTTGAAGACAAAATGTGCCTGTTACTAAACTGCTGTCTGTGAATGGTTTGTTATTAGTTTCCATTTCAGCCTATGTAGATGCAAGAAGAGGAGGCTTTGAAATATAGACTGGAGTATGAAACGTTTTATTATTATTATTATTATTATATTATTATTATTTTATTATTAGCTACTTAGTGGGCTACTCATTAAATAACTTTTTAGAAACACACATTATCCTGCGTATCACACGGCTAATTATTTGGGATAACAAACATTTGAAACTAATTATTTCTTCAGCTTCTGTAGCCGGTGTCCATAGCAACGGTTACCTACCCAACTCTGTAGCCTTCATAAAGTGCGCTAAAGTAGCTTTCGTTGCTCAAATTAAACGGAACTTTTCCACTCATAGTGAAGTGAGACGAGGGGAACAGGTCATGAATCAGCTCTACTAGCTGTATGACTTTTTCTGCATCGTCATGTCTGTGTCATTTGGCATTTTATTTTCCCTTTACCAGTCTTTAAACAAAGTTATATCTATGACGGAGGATTAGGGCCACGTTAAAAAAATTAAGAAATTTATGACTTTAATCTCGTAAATTTACAACTTTAACCTCAAAATTTACGACTTTAACCTCGTAAATTTACGACTTTAACCTCAAAATTTACGACTTTAACCTCGTAAATTTACGACTTTAACCTCGAAATTTACGACTTTAATCTCGTAGATTTACAACTTTAATCTCAAAATTTAAAAACATTTTTTTTTTTTACGTGGCCTAATCCTCCTTCGTATTGTATCCCATAGCAAGTTTCGTGGCGTGTTTATTTGCTACTTTTAGTTTTTTAGATTTCTCTGTCGGAGCTCATAGTTTGCATTGTTGAACCCCTTTCCTGTGTTGTTATCCTCTCCTTTCTCTTTTCTCACACTGTAAAAAAAACAAAACACCAACGTCAAAATCAACCGGACTTCTTTCCGCATATTGATATGATTACCTCCAGATTCTGTGATTAGAGGAGCGTCCATAGCAACAGCGTGCTTTTCTTAGCAACAGTTTGGTGATCAATCGAGGGATAGCAGACCACAGCTTTACATAATCGGCCATTCAGAATCAAATATTCAACACAGCCGTGTAATAAGCCTAATGTAACATTCAGGGAAAAGTTTGTCCTGAATTTTGTTATTTAAAATTTTTAAGAAAATCATTTTTATTTACTCGGGAAAGTGACAGCTGAGTGGTGACCTTGTTTTGGATGTAAATATTAAAACTTGTGCGTTTAAAAAAAGCTGACTTCACCGTTTCTCAGGGCAAATCATATTTATTGACATTTTCAATAAACATGTGGAATAAAAATAGTACTGTTTGTGTGTGCTTGGGATTTTCAGGGTGTGGAGAGAAATAAAGGAAGAGTTGACACTGAAACTTGAAACACACATTTTATTAAATCTTGTTTGAAAACATTAGGAGAAAAACACGAAGCCACCAAAAGCATAAATGACAAACATGAAAACAGAAACTATTTGTCGAGTGAAGCTGCGTAGCACCCGAAAAACCAAAGCAAATGTCAAACCATTCCCACATAGTAAACAGCAGCTGACCATTATTAGGATTTCTCTCTTTTTAAATATATTCTCTCTGCATAATTCAGTAATATATTTGGCATTGCATATGTGTGGTATAAAAACAAAAAATTCACAAAATTACAACCTGTAATGCCTCAATACAGGCCACCGTGTGAGGTTAGATATATATATACAGATAGAATACTTTATTAGATCAATATACAGCAGACTGATACCCAGTACAATATAAAAATAACATGCGTCTCTAAATCACACACTGAACAGTCGTCATTTTTGCAGAAAATGTATAAAAGAAAGAGAATATAGAGTAAGAAAGTAAAAGAAAGCAGACACAGTAGTTTAAATTACGTGTTATAAAGCCTCACCTCACATTTTAAATAAGTGTCCCTTTTGTATAATCCAGTAAAATGTACAACAATGTTAATTGTGCTACAACAATTATGCTTGATTTGGCCTCAATGTTGTAAGCGATGCTTCGACACCGTGTGTGTGTGTGTGTGGCAAACTGAACTGTGGCACTATAAAGGCAAACTGAAAAGACTCTGAATGCACATGAGTGATGAGGTGTGTTTAGAACGTAAGATTCAGCTTTAATGTCAATACAATCAGTCTTTAAAAATCAATGATACAGATGATGAGTGCAAACAGACTGAAGACTGTGAAGTCTGGTTCAGTGTGATCTGAGCTAAATGAATGCAAGTCACCAGCTGACCATTTGTAGCACTTTTTTTCTTGGCATGCACACATACACACTACTCACTGAGCTTTTATTTTGTTTTTTTACCTCCGTCACACACCAACAGTCAACGTACTGGTTTGTTGTGTGTTTAAAGGTAAACAACAGTAGCATGCAGTTTTAACGAAGGCACTGGCTCACACACAGGTGGTGTGTCTGTGTGTGTTTTCTAACTCGTCTTGATTGCTCATTACTTCGGTAAACTCTCTCTTGCTTCTTCCAGTTTGGAAAGAACCCACTGAAAAATAACGAGAAGCAAAGTGGAATCGTGAGTCGCACCACAGGGGGCTCTTATTATAATTACATTTATAAACAGGAGAACCTGAAGAGTTAAAAATTCTTACCGTGGCAATCTCAGACGTTTTGAAATTTATGATCTTTCCAAATTCCTTGGCGTGGAAGACTGATTTCACTCTTTCCTGTCAAACACAAGAGGAGTTTTTAGAACAGGACACAGCAACATTTCTTAAAAAACTATTTGGATTTCATTTTTAAGAGTCAACCTTGGCTTCGATGCGTAGTCGACGGCTCTCTACGATCATCGGCTCCTTGGTGAACTCTTCAAACAGATACTGCCACTCACAGGTAAACTGACCAAACGTGCCTTTAGTCACAAAAAATACTCCCCTGGAAAAGAAAAGAAAAGACATCAATAGTTGATTAAGAAACAAGGAGCTAAAAGCACAGTGTTTTATTCAGTTTCTAGTGGTTAGTTACAGATGGATCATGACATGGGACAGGTACTGAAACATGTTAGAAATGGTTTGTCTGAAGTTATGGTGCGTTCCATTTGATCTCGGAAGTCGAAAATTCCAAGTTGGCAGTCTTAAGCCTGGCTCACACTGGACGATTTTCCCCCCGATTGTATAAAAGTCGGGGTGTCATGTCAGCTCACGCTGTACGACTGAATCGTTTACGACGCCCAACCAGACCTTCAGATCGACGTGCTCACACTGTACGACCCGATTGTCGGGCACGGCCGGAGAGCTCACACTGTACGAGTGAAATCAGGACGGAGTGTTGACGATTGTTAATAAAGTTTCATTTGAAAAAAACAAAGGACGACGGTCGGTGAAAGAGAAGGAAGTGGAAGTTGTAGGATATAGAAAAGTTGATACAATCGTAGATATATGGAGACAAGTTTCAGAAAAGTGCTGCACTGATGATCTGTACAGAAAAGTAAAAAAAAAAAAAAAAAAGAAGAAAATCAGAAAATCCAACATGGCTGCTACGTCCATCAACAGTAGAGTTTAAGCTGTACACTATAAAGTTTACTGACAACTCAGTCTTGTTTTTGTGTAATTAAATGGATCACAACGATAGTGTTGTGAACGTTCTATCTGTGGACATGTTAAGTTGCTTTCATGTGAATGTGTTGTTATCGCCTGGAACAAGCTAACACAACACAGGTAGTCCTGGAGGCTTTAATGTAGCTCGTCCAACTTGTTGCCAAGTCGTTACTGTAATGCATTCAACTCAGGTGTAACGTCATTACCAGATAAGCTAACATCTAAATTCCGAGGCTAACTGAACGCACCATAAGCAGGCTGCTCAGACTTTATTAAAGCCATAAAGTAAACATGTTCTGCGATACAAGGAGTAAACGAGAAAACTAAGAAAAGTCGTGCTCATCCAAAGCTAACTCAATCTTGATTAAGAAACAGCAACAAAAACAAACCCTCACCTTTTTGTGATCATGAGGAAGTCCGAGTCGTTGACCTTAGCGTGAGCAAAGTATCTGTACTTGGCAAAACGTCCATTCTCAATTTTCTGAGGAAAGAGAAGAAAAAGTGAAGAAGCAGCAAAAACTTAGAAACACCTGAGTGTCTGAATCAAAGTACAGTATGAACGTCAAGATGTGTATATCTCTTAATGACTGATGAATAAGTGTGTATCAGCTGTACACACTGATGATGTCACCAAACTGAAATGATGAAAAATGAAAACGTGGTGAGTGAAGAGGAAAGAAAGGATGAAACAAAGACTGTGACGGGTAAACATTTTATTGTTGTAGGGGCAGTGATTGACAGAATGGGAAAACAAAGACATAATGATGAAGAAACAGAAACTTCATAAAAGGTGATGATGAGGATAGTAAATATGGAAAAGATTTCTCCTGTGGCTCGGGGGGGGGAAATAATAAAACGACAAGAGGAGTAATGGGTGAAAAGAGGAAAATAAATAAACAATAAATAAAGAAATCAAGTACATGAACAACTAAAAAAAAAACATTTCTCAAACTCCTCTATTTGGTCGATCTTTCAAAAGAGTTTAATCTAAGGCAGAAGCACTTGAACACAGACTACGTTAAAGCTACTCTACATCCGTCAACGTCTAGCGTCTAAAAGCTTCACTGGTCATCAGCCTCATCCTGTGAGCCAGATCTACTCCACTCACTGTACGCCTTCCTCCTCTGTGGACATGAGAGAAGAGTCAAAGTCAGAGCCAGGAGATCCAAATGTTAGTGTCATTTCAATCTTAACCGACTGAATGTCTTTCTCAAATCACCACAAACCTTTCACATCTCTAAAAACACCAGGTGTGAAGGCTCTCAGGTTTAACAACACATCTCCAAACTACAAACAATAAAGCTGTACTGGAAGTGAACTAACAGGGCTACACGATGAGGTACATTCAATTCACTCAAATTCAGCAGCTGAGATAGAAACACACATCTACCAGGATGTGTGGCTACATTATTCTTGCCGTTGGTCCTAATTAATGTCTAATAAGTCGACTAAATATCCAACGCTTTTACTGCCACATCTATCTACAGTGTGAGTCTAAAGCTTTGGATACAGAGGGGTGACAGATTAAAGCAAAACTCTGAATATAGTAAGGAGTGAAAAACAAAATACCATACCTCTCGGCATACATCTGAGAGATGCTTCAAATAGATTCCAAAAAAGAGCCAGATGTTCTGCCCCTGCATCTTTTCTAAAGCCTCTTTCCCACATGCACATGTCGACTTCTTGCAGACTTATTACTATGGGGTTGGCAGGTTAAAGTCCAGATAATGTCACAAGCTGCTTTCAGGAGTTCAGTGCATTTGTGTGTGATGCTTTAATTTGTCACCTTTCTGTAAAACTGTCGGGAAAATCATCTAAAAAAAAAAAAAAAAAAAAAGGCATCTATCTTATTAGCCAGGATGTGCAGCTCTGACCTGTGACTCGTAAGCACAAACTTCCACCCAATCCATCAAGCCCGAGCGCTAAAACAATGTCCGCAGAGAAAAAAGTGACCCACAGTTTAAACTCGATGCTTCAATAAAGGAAAACTGAAACATACCAAGAACACTAAAATCTACAAACATGAGAAACCCATGACAAACAGATTCTGAACCACATCCAGGTTAATGTGCTGATGAACAAGCAAATGACTAAATATGCAACGATCTGCAGTCGATCTGAAACAGGAGAGACCACTGCATTCTTCAACATCAGTAAAAGTGAAAAACGGATTAAAATAAACGTGAAAGAAGGGAAGATGATTGGCTGTATTCATGTGTCTGTAAACACATAAACATACAACTCCACAGGCAAACCTGGGCAAAATATGCTTCATTTAAATCTCTTTAAATCACAGAAATCACACAGAAAATGCAAAAAAAAAAGCATCATACTGAGTTTCCCCTCCTTCATTTCAGTTAAATTATGAATATTTATCAGTGCTTTTTTTTTTGCCACGGTCCCACTATGGAGAGTATATTCATGTAATGGTCTTTGTCCTACCTGGAGCATCTGGCTGCCGAAGCCCTCCCTCTTCTTATATGGGCGTATGACACCGTCTTCGTGGATGAAGCGAGGAGGGCGAAGAGATTCAACGTCTTGTGAAGTCTCCGCTGCCCTAAAAATAAGACGAACAAGATATTTTAAGACTCGCCTTAAATGAAACCTTTTGTAACCTCTTCTGCAGGCACACAATCTCTGACATTAACAAATCCCAAAAACTAAACATTCTGAAGAGGATTTTAACATTTATTTTGGGGCTTTTTTGGAGAGTGGATAGAGTCAAATCAGGGAGAGAGACAGAGTGGGGGGAAAAGGAGCCGCAGGTCGGATTTGAACCCACGACTGCAGCCTCTGTACGTGGAATCCTAACCATTTGGCCAACAGCGCCCCAGATACTATCCGATTTAAACAACAGAATCTGTTATTTTTATGCACGATAGTAATGAAAGGAAAAGAAAAGAGTTTCAAGTCCCTTTGGCATCTCATGAGGATGAAACAAGTTATAACAGTATGTGATACAGACAGACAAAGAGCAGAGGAGAGAGACAGCGACGCCCCCCTGGGTGCTGCGTTTTCTAATAATCCGAACTTGCAGACTGTTGACAGAGAGTTTCAAACCACTGCACAATAACCGACGCCCATGAAATGTCAGAAATAGCAAGAAAATCAGCAAAGAGGGCAAACAGAGAGCAGAATCTCTGCAGACATCTTTACACAACTCTTCTGGATTATCACTGCTTATCAGGAAGAAACTTCTTATTTTGGGGTCTTTACATTATTAGAGGTCAATCTGATTTATTATATCATTTATTACAGTTTACTTTATGCCAAATGTTGGTATGTGTTAAATAACTATTTCTGTATGGGCAGTGTGTGCAGGTTGGAAATCAAAAACAAGAAAAAGACTTAACTTTGGATGCTCAGAAGTTTTTGTTGTTCTCGCTGTGGTATCAAAACAGGTATGGGTGCCGTTTGACTTTTACTAGCACCTAACAAAGTTGAAACATTCTCCTACTACACCCACTGTAATACACACAAACAGATATGAACGTACCTCTTGATCCCTTGGAAAGTACTGCTGGCCATGTCGATTATGCCGCCCGTTGGTCTGGCGACTGCACCGACCAGACCTTTCCCAAAACCTTTAAAAAATCCAGCTGCACCCTCCTTCTGGGCTCCTGCAAAATGAAACATCATCAAATATCACTTGTATCACGTACAGTAGTATTGTATTTTCTTGGCCATTAAATATTCAAAACAGAACATGCAACATCTAAATGAAGTTACAAATCAACATACCTTTGATTGGTTTGGTGACAATCCCTGTTATCCCGCTGACAAATCCCTGAAAGCAAACACAACATTTCCAAACATTTACTCATAAAGAAGATTTTTTGGGTTGCAGACTAATCTTTAAGGCTTCTATGATACTACTGTAACAGAAAGTTTGGGTACATACAGACACTAATCCCTTTCCTCCCCTGGTCAGCCCCTCTCTCAGGCCGCTGGGTTGTTTGTTCATCGCCTCTCGTCTCTTCTGCTGGTATTCTTCGTCCATCGTTATGGCAGCGACGCCCTTTGCCATGGCGCCTGTGATCCTGGAGGCAGCGCCCGCTATACCACCTGGAAGGCACATATGAATGTTTACAGTCACAGCAGAACAGTCACTACATATTTTATGTTGCTCTATATGAGAAGGCAAAAGGCTGTTTGATTTCTTTAACACATTTATTTGGAGGTGAACTCAACATTTTGGTGCATTCAAGGGCCACAGGAAAAGTAAATACACAATCATAAAACTTTGTTTCCAAAGCGGAGACAGTTGTGGAATCGATGTCACATACATAGAATCTCAGAATAAAACGATTTTAAATGAAGCAATGGTCTGAAAAGAAAGAATTCAGACACATTTTCACAGGTTTATTGTTCCTACGAGCCGGTACTCACCTACAGCTCCTCCCACCAGAGCCTTCACGCCCAGAGCCATTCCCTCAACAAACTCCTCAGGCCCCTGGATGGCTCCCTGGAAACCCCCAAAATGACAGTAAAACAAGATGAAGACATGAAGTCTGGACTGTCAGGGTTTAAAAAAAGTCACACTGCTACTGTTTTCACACATTTCCTGATGACATTCTCTAAAGTCCTTCACAATATTTAAAGGTCACATATTATCAATTCAACAAGTTTAAATAAGTCTCAGAGCTCCCCAAAAACATGTCTGTGAAGTGCCTTGTTCTAAATCCACTCTGATCCTGTGTCTGACCACGCCCCCTCTCTGGAAGGGCTTGGGTCGGCTCGGTCTTTCTCTCTCCATGTCCTATTGTTTACAGTGAGAAGGCAGACTCAGAGGGCAGAACAAACACCTAGCTGTAGGAGTGTCACCCACCTGGGGGAGGGGCTACTGCCCTTTGTGATGTCACAAAGGGAAAATCTCTAAACGGCCTGTTTGAGCACACATTTTCTGAAAAGTGGAGAGGATGGACTTTTCTCTTTATTGGGGGATTTGCAGACAGACTAGGGACACATTAGTGTTAGAAAAACATGTTGAAGTGGATTTTGTAAAGTATGTGACCTTTAAAGTGTATCACATAGAAGACACGCTTATACATTCAAGCACTCATCCTTCGCTTTTATTAAAATGCTACCTGATAAGGCTCATAGAAAAAGGCTTCCACTCCTTCTGACAGCCCTCTGATCAGTCCAAAAGGGTTTCCAAGAACGTCCAGGCCCAGAACCAAAACATACATCTGTTTAATAGCCTGAAATATGGACACAAAAAGTAGAAACAGGTAAGAGGACTTGTAGCCAACCTATATCTTTCTGCTGCATTTTTCATACTTAAATACCGAGGCTTTGTATGTGCATGTGGGTGAATGTGGGTTACCTGCTTTGAGTAATGCCTGATGACCTCCCACTGCAGCTGCTGGGTTGTACAAAACTGGAAGGTCAACTCAAAGAAGGCCAGCCTGAAATACACAGCAGAATAATAAAAAGTGCTGCAGTGTTTGGTTTACAGTGCGTGTTTGAAGACGTGCATGCGTGCGTGCTTACTTGAAGACAACGTCCTGCACATCGGTGAGTGTGGCGCCGATGCTCTTCAGCAGCAGGTTGAGCGACTGAACAGGAATGAGCTCTTTGTCTCTCTTCTCCTTCATGCCGTCTTCTCCTCCAGAACTCAAAGAGAAACTCAGATGAAGCTGCAAAACAAAACAAAAAAAAACGACTTGATAATGAGTTCCTGATTATATTATCACCTACATAAAGTACATCCTGTATGGTGCACTGACCTTGATGGGTGAAATGTGGAAGTACTCATAGAGGCTGACTGGAGAGTTGTCTGCAGCAGAGACGTGGTTCAGTTCTGTTTTGATGTACTCTATGTCCTTCTCAAACAGTTCCACCTGCAGGAATCAGACAAATACATGCACACAGAGATATGAATGAACGAGGTTAAGGTGCATCTCATGGCCTTTAAAGTCACTACATTTTAGATCTATGTGTCACAGGCTTAGCGGTGGAGTCTGACCTCCTGCTCTGAGCTGGTGGTGCTGGCATACTCAGCTGTGAACAGGTCCAGGATGGCATACAGGAAGCCAAGATCCAGCTTCAGATCCATCTCCTGAATCAACACCTTGAAGTACCTGAGGAAGAATACCAAAGCAAGCTATTGTTAACATACTGATTTGTATAAATACGAGGGATTTGAAATGGCACACCTTGAGGTAAGCCTCCAAATATCAATAATTCAAGACGTAAAAAACTATTTTTAAAAATTAAAAACAGCATAAAAGCAGATTAATGAAGCCACAAACTGTAATGTGATGATAAGCTGATAGAAAGAAAATCTATTGATGACTGTTTTGATAACTGCTTGATTGTTCAAGTCATTTTTCAAAGAGGATTATTGAAGCATTGGTAAATTACATCTTTTTAAATATAATTCTGTTTCTGCTTGTGTAAAATGGTACTCAGATAAAATCTCTTATTCAACAAAATAAAATATTTGAAGACCTAACTTTGGGCTTTGGGAAGCTGTGTATTTAGTTCATTTAATTTTAAAAATATTGTGGAAACAATGTTCAATCTGTTGATTAATTGATAATGTAATTTGAAATGTTTTTTCTAGGAATCACACGGCTGCATTTGGCTGAACTATTAAAAAACAAATGCTCTTCAGACTAATAGAACAGTAGCGAACTAATCAAAATTAGATTCCCAGTATTTCTGTGCCTGCTAAAATGAGAAAAAAATATATTTAGAGAAAGGGAAAAGAGCAAATAACTCTGCTTCACAACAAACAAATCCAGTCCAGAGACACTGGAGGACGCTTAAGGGAAACAAAGTGGGAAAACAATCAAATGGAAAAAGGATTACTTGATGCGTGAGATGTCAGAGTGCCCTGCTGTCCTCGTTACAATGCTGATGTCTGTTAGAGGTTTGGGTTCTAAAAGACAAATACACATGAAATCAAATTACTGACTCAAACCCAGCATACTCACAGTACATGTAAAGGTAAATTAAAGACATCGCTCTGTACAAGCTGGACTAACAGACCTGAATCCATGGTGATGGATTTTGGCAGTTTTACAGGATAGAACACGTAGGGGAATATCGCTCCTGGCAGCTGATTCTGGATCTGTAGGAGGAGAGGACGTATACTTCAGAGCCAGTAAAGAAAAAAAAAAAAAACATACATTAAGAAACTAATGCAGAGCAAAGCATTTAGGAGGGCCTTTAGTGGAATACCCTGAAGAATAGATTAGATTTTAGAGGAAGTAAAGATTAATTTTTGCATCTAACGGTCAGATATTTTGTTCAAATGGGACTGATTCTCACCTGAATACGGTGAATCTGTACACGGTAGGCGCTCTGTCGAGCTGAGACGCTGTACTCCACTTTCACCCCGGGCAAGAAGTGCCTCCTGAGAGGAGCATCACACGGCTCCAGCATCCGCATATCCATGCCGTTTGGAGTGAAAATCACCTGGAACACAATCACAAACACAACAATGTTGAAATACTTTGATCTGCAATTTAAGGTCTTTACATAGCTTTTTACTCCTTTATTATTTAGAGACAACATAGTGGATAGAGTCAGAAATAGGGGAGAGAGAGTGGGGAATGAAATGCGGGGAAAGCAGCCACAGTCCGGTACCAAGCTCCAACCACAAGGCCACTGGCCCCCTGCAATTAACCTCTAACTACCTCTCTAATCAACTTTTATTTTAAAGTGTTCACTGAAATTTCAAATAAAACTACTCAGAAAAACCACAAATTATTAAACAAAGAAACAAATAAAGGGCACCTCAGAACATACACAACAAGACGCTATCTAATTATACTAAAACTTGTGTAAGTATACTAAATACAAATAAGACAGAAAGGAAGTAAGTAAATCAATAAATTGAAAAAAAAAGAAAGTTTCAGCAAATGTTCAAGGCAAACAAACCTGGAAGTTGTTTTCCAGTTCCACAATGGCGTTGTCCACGGGTCCAGAGTCAATGTACTCCTTATACTTGTTCTCCAGCAGCTCGGCTTCTTTAGTGCTCAGAGTCTTCCAGCGATTCTTCTTCTTCGGCTTCAATTCCCACACCTCATTGGAGCTTAGACGACAAAAGAGAAGCAAGCAGGTTTAAAATAATGACGTTGTATAAATGGTGCAGGACTGACCAGGACGTCACATATACGCATCATCATTACGACACACATCGATAGTGTGCTCATCTACCTTGTGATCCCGATAAAGGAGACCTCCTGGCTGCTGCTGTTGTTGATCAGAGAGACGCCGACGTTCCTGAGCGACAAGATGATTTCCTGTTCAGCCAGCTGCGCCTTCTCGCTCTCACAGAGCAGCTTGTAGATGTGCTGATCCTCGGTGAACAGCACAACACGCTGGAGACCTTTGGACCACAACACACTGATTTAACCCTTACTTTACCCCTAAAATGAAAGGATGCATTAGAGACGAGCTCTTTGCTGTTTTTACCTTCATAGAAGGAGATCAAGAACAGTCGCCCCTCGGTGTTCATGTCCTGAAGTGTGTCCTAAAGAGCAGGGGCAGAAAAAACATTTTTTTTATACTGTATAAACAAACAAAACAGCTTTCACATACAGAAACACAACAAGAATTATTGTGTGTCTACATAACTGTGAAACTATTCTGCAGTGCCAAAGATGCAAGAAAATGAAAGCACTAGACCAACTCCACTTTTACAGATTATTACAAAACAAATAGACATCAACAACCAGCATTCAAACTTTGTTTTTAGTGAGATATGAAGATTTTTATCTTTGAAAAGAGATGTCAGCTCAGTGTTTCTTTATCAGACCTTGACTATTTCTCTTACCTTGACTATTTCTCTACTAAAACTGTGCAATCTGTTGAAAACTGGATAATATTTATACATCAAAGTGCCTGATTTTCTGTCAGGGAGTTTGGAAAAACTCCTGTACTTTCTATTTATTTGAGGTAAGGTCATTTGTTTTGTTTTTTAATTAGATGTTATCTTTATTTTGTTTGCAGGTGCTCTCCCTGAAGTTTGATTAATTTTGTGAATAGTGTTGATAAATTACTTTTTGTGGACTGAAAATGATTTTGATTGTGGCTCATCATTGTGAGTGAAGGTCACTTTTATTCTACAGCTGGTTGTCACAGCAGCTAACTGAGATCAGTCAGAAAACATGCTAACACATGGACATAATCATCAAAGAGGTGAGAGTGTCCACAGGGGGTCACCATAACCACAGGAGCTTTTAATAAATGGATGAATACTGTAAAATCTTCACGCGTCTCAGTTACAGTACCTCCTCACTCTTCAGCTTCCCGCTGTAAGCACCACAGCTCCAGTACAGCTCGCGGGACCCCGTGGGCTCAGTCCAGGTGTAGTGCACCGCTTTCCCCGCCTCCAGCTCCTCCTGCTCTGCCTCCTTCTGAGAGCTACCCACATAGGACGAGGACACACACACAGACGGTATAAGTCAGCTACAGGTCTTTTTTCCCGCTGATTTCAGACGGCGGTAAGCAAATAACGACAGACGGCGGTGCAAGGTAAACGATATAAAACAGAGAAACAATGTAACACAGCCCCGACCACCAAGAGTCTACTGCCATGACAACCATCCAATCCAAAGTCCCGTAATGACAAGAAAACAAACAATTCCCGTCAACAGACAGAAACATGACAGTAAACGACGGAACAGCCGCCAAAGACTGAAGAGTCCCCAATACCTCTCCTCTGGGGATGTAAGGTTTAAAATATGCATACACTCTGAGAAGAAGATGAAATAAGCCGTCATTTACAGAATGGAGATGAAAATAAGAGACAGAAGAACAGAGGATACTGAAGGAAGCAGGAGGTGAGATTCCTCGGGGCTGAATCCCATCCAGTCGGCAGCATTGAGAACTATTTTATCTACAAGTGAAGACGCTGAAGAGCTGAAAGGAACATAACAATAGATGAGCGTTTGGATGTCTAACCTGCTCCTTTAACTCAACCTTAAACATGTCCAGGACATCAGTAAAAGAAGAGGTATGAGGGTCCGTTATGAATACATAATTAAGGGCCAACAGGTGTCAAAACAAGTCAATAAAGACAGATTATTTCATGATATGTTCTCTGATAAGGATCCTACAGAATGTGTTTCTTCTTGTTAAGGTGAGAGGAGCAGACTACACAGACAAACCCAGTCAGAGCTGAAGCTTCCCTTTTCCTTTTTATATTTACCTGAACTCTTCACATGAACACCACTCTGCACTCAGGTGTGCCGTCACCGTAAAATGACCCTTCAAATGTTACATCACTTCATATCAACATGCTGCACTGTTTGTTTGCTCCTTCATTCATTTATGGAACAAACAACATAATGCAGCAAGTTCAGATTCCCCTTTTATCATTGCTCTTATCCTCCCGTCCCCTCCCGTCTCAGACTTTTCCTGAGTTCAGAGTGAGTCACCAGAGTTTTTTTCTCCTTTCCATTTTTCCTCTACCTTTCCTCCTCCCCCGAGAAGGAGAGGTCGAGCAGCGAGTCAGGCACCCACGTGGCTTCTGTCCGAGCACTGCATGACCCATAACACACAAATATAAATGTCTATGAGCGAAAAAAAACAATCAAACAAAGAAGAACTGATTAAGGCCGCTGCAACAAGAGAGATTCATATTTTTCATCAACACATGTGCAAAATAGTTATCTATCAAACGAGGATCGGAAAGTATGCATGAACGAGTCCTACTTTGCAGATAAAAAAATAAACATGCAGAAAAGGCTTCATTAAGAAGAGCAAATTATCTGATAAGTGATTGTGCTCTTCTTCATTTACGGCAGGTGGGGAACATCTTAATTATATAAAAGGCTCTGCAAAAAGGAAACACATGTTCAGACAACACTTACACCAAAGAAGGGCTGATACATGATGAAATTAAGACATTTCCTGCAGAAGGTTTGTTTGAGTCTTCAGTTTAGCTTCACCACATAAACATATAAATGTTGCTCCTATGCATCCTTAAGATGTATGTTAACTCATTACATCCAGTTCCCGATCCCCATCCCACATGATCTCTGTCATGTTTAACATCTGACTCCTTTCATTTCTCTCTCTCAGTCTGAGGCTACTTTTCAATAATAAAAGTGTGAACCTCTCACCTCTGATGGAAGCGCAGAGTCTGGTCTTTGGTGTGGTTGATGATGAGGAAAGGCGCTGCACCGTCGTGGTACTCGGAGAATCGGATGGTGGCGGAGTGCTCTGATAGGTTCACGTCTACAATGATCCCGCCCACCTGCAGACAAAAAAACAAATAACAGTCTGGATTATATTACGAGGATGTCTATGCTTTAAATACTGATTTATTAGAAGATGATATGTGAAATATAAAGAAACAGAACTCTGGGTGCACGTGTCTACTCACAGAGTTGTCCAGGTGCAGTAGGAGGCAGTTTTCTGGCCGTGTGAAGTCAATCGTTCGAGGAGGCAATAAACACCCGTCTACTTTGATCTTCAGCCGCTTGGTGTCGTTCTCGGCCAGAAGGGAATAGCTGACTGAATGTAGGATAAAGGAAAACCTTCAATAACACTGACAAGTAAAGACCCTGACGCACCAAGGAGATTGTCAGCTGTCGGTCCTAGTTGGAACTGCATTCTTCACCGTCCTCGTCCTCATCCCCCTTTTTGGAATGACAAATACAGAAAACCGCCGCCTGCTGGCATGGAGAGTTATTTCCTCTCATGCAAGCACAAAATGTACGTAATAGTTGGCCGTCGGCTGTAGTCTTTGCGGTGTGTTCAAGTGCAACTTTTTTTCCCAAGACAAAAAGCAATGCCACAGTCGGACTTTGCTACTTGGTGTGTTGGGCTTTAAGGATTTCAACTGAAAATCTTTTAAAACCTTGATCCTGCAGGACTGTATGAACTTTCTTTTCAGTGTTGTGCGAGCACAGAGCATAGTTTAAGATCATGGTTCCCTCATAAGTTATAACTTCCCTCTCTTACATTTGATTATGACATTTTATGACCTTATATTTGACTAAAACAGCTTAAAAAAATAAAGGTTGCATTTGATCATTTAAGATATTAATTTGTTGTTGCCATGAAAGTAAAAATCTGCAATATCTGCAAACGAAGAGTGTAATTTTGTTTGTCTCTGACCTGCTCGGGCTGAGCCTCGGTCCAGTTGTCCTGTCCTTCTTCACAGATGAAGACGCTGTGCTTTGTTCTGTTGACCAGCATGTAAAACGGCACAAAGCTCACGATGCGAGTCAAACTGAAGCTGCTCGCGTCGATCTTCACACCCACCTGAGGTCAGATAGAGGTCACAGAAATACACAGATTCATATCATGTACTTATAAACCAACAGATTTGGCTTAAAACATCTTAAATGAAGCTCTTCATCAGGTTTGATATAATAAGTCTGGATGTAAAAATCTTACCAGGTAATCTTTGTACCGGCCTTTACATTTGACATCTCCATGGCTGCCCACAGTGTCCAGAGAGAAATCATCTGAGAGCTCGCTGTCTGAGATCATAAGACGCACCTGAGGGAGGAAACAAACAACATTACATTAAAGATTTAAATTTAAATGAATCCCAGATTTAAAACCTTCTGCTAAAAAAGTTTGGGCTAAAAGCAAACCAAATCTGTATTCATTTTTAGATCGCTGTACTTCAATTTTCTAATTTATATTTGGTTCTTATAGATTTTAATGTTGTCAGAATACCAGATTTTAAACCTCGATACAATGCCAGTAATCAAACAATATCAATACCTGTTTTGATACAATTGCAACAAATAAGTCTGAGGCCCCTTTATCAGGTCATTTCCTCTTTTTGTTAGGCCCCAAATTTCTACCAATCAGATACATTTACTGAAAAAATGTGCAGCTTGGACCTCAGACGTACAAAACACGTGAAAGAAACCAAACATAACAAACATGTTTCAAAAGTGTTCACAGACTTTTTGCACACCTTCCAGACCCACTTCAACAACTCCGCGACCCCCCAGTTAAGAACCGCCGGTTTAAACCACGCTCTCTCTCTTTATGCTCGCAGCAGCTTTTGGTAAAAAATGTGACTGACACCTGAATTTTTTCTTTAAAGCTTTGGTCCTTTTTAAAACAATCGATCATTCAAATATGTGAGACGATTGTTTTATCGAAAAGTATCCAAAATATTGACAACCTTAATAGAAATTATATTGGTGTGAAGTATTTATGTGTGGGTTTTTTTGGGCCATTTTGGCATTTATTAGATCGGAAAGTTAAAGAGAGACATGAAATGTCAGGAGGAGAGAGAGAGGGGATGACATGCAGCTGCAACATGGACTATATAAAGTATTAGCAATAGCTGAAAATCTTAGCAACAAATCAGTTTCATGCCCTGTGTTGATTGCTCTCAAATTGCAGCATCCCTATAAAATAAATAAATGAAATACAAATACAGTAATTAAGATTAGCCATAGTTTGTACTGGAGTCTTTTTTGGCCTCAGAAAAATCAAGACATTTCAACTAAGTGCTCTTTTACATAAAAGAAAACATTAAATAAACTTTTTTCTCTCTTTGAATCAACTTTAAAAATCTGACCTTATTATTTTTCAGGAAGTATCGGGGCTTGAAGGAGAAGAGCAGAGGCATGTCGTAGTCCAGCGGGTGTTTGCGGTGGATATCGTCCGCCTTGTACTGCAGCAACCTGCCCGTCTTGTTCACCATCCAGTAGGGCGAGTGGAAAGCGATCACGGTTTGTCCCAGGTCATATTTAACATGCACCGCTATATCCAGCTCAGCCCTCTTCCTCTCCTCCCCTTCCCCATCGTCTTCATCGCTCTCTCTTAGAGACTGGAACACGATGAAGGTGATCTCCTCCTGGTCACTTTGGAGACTGTATGAGAGGAGAATGAGTTTATCATGATGAGAACCTGGGCCGCCCGCTTGGAGGACCACAGCCTCCATACATGGGGGGTGCGCGCACTAACCACTGCGCCACCAGCGCCCCCCCTTTGCCCTTTCTGTCATTAAAAATATATTTATCATACACCTTTCACCACACAAATTGTTAGGAATGACCAATATGCTCACATTAGATTACAAGGACACTATAGCCCAATTAATACTACGGTCCCTGTGACATTTCACCTTCAATCTGAATGACACAGAGGCATACTGGGGGGGGACAAAGTGACCCCCCTCTGTACTGTCTTTGGTGTTAGTAACAGAGGCGTTTCAGGGGTCAGACAGGATTGGCAGAGCCAGCAAAGGAGCGCAGCGCTGTGTGTGTAAAATGTAATAGAAATCAAGTATCTCCTCTGAAAATAACTCTGTGAGTCATGACTGTCTACAATGGGTGTAACACCCGAGTCCCACTGTCTGTGATGTTTTCAGAGTCCTATCTTCAGTTTGTTTACATCGCCGGACGGCCGGCTGACTCCTCCCCTCGTGTATAAAAGTTGTTTAATTGAGGACTAGAGAAAAGAAGAATAACATACTGTACTCACTGCTTAACTGTGTTTCTAGATCACGCTCATTTCAGGTAAATTTACATGCAGTGTGAAGATACCAGCATAATAAAGATCGCTAGCATTAGCATGCTAACACAACAATGCAGCGCCAGTTGTTTTGGTTTCATGCGGGTGCTCAAGGGCGACATCTGCTGGCTCAAAAATCGCATATAAAGCCTTTAAGCGCTGTAGTGGGATTGCAGACTGAAAAGGGCTTACATACAGTATAATAATGAAAAAGAGTTTAAGTCTAACCTGTACTTAGCACACCAGTCCTGAGCCAGGTAGCTCTGCAGGCAGAGATCCAGACTTGACTGGTTGATGACTGCAGTATAGAGCTGTGCAGAGTGACCCGGGTCCAGAGTGGCTTCAGGAGCAGAGACCCCACTGTCCTGTTGGGCATCAGATTGACCATTATTAATGCTGTATCCGTTAACAAGACCGTTAGCAAAAAACCCTCACTTATAATAGAGCTACAAAAGTAACTTTGTTTTTGTTGCAATGTTTGAAACATTTCTCATACCATGTGGTGAGCTGAAACACACAAACACACAAAACCCAACTCTGAACTCCTTTTTAAATCAACCACAGTCAACAATCAGCAGACTCGTCTCACCTGCAGTTTGTATGAGATGGGGTAGGGCAGCAGGTTACGGAGCAGGACAGAAGGCCAAAGGTGAAGCACAAAGGGCACATCAAAGTTCTCCCCGACTCCTCCGGTGTCTCTGAACGTCACGGCGTCTTTTACCGGCACAATGTTGACAATCAAAACGCCACCCTGGTCTCCGCGGCGACGGCAAGTCTGCTGGAGGCGTGTCTCTGACTGCTGGTTGCTGACGTCTTCGTAGCTGAAGCCCTCTGAGCTCTCGAACTCTTCCTCTTTGCTGTCAGCGTCGTCCTCCATTATCGGCTGAAGACTCAGCTCAGACCTGAAGGGGGCAGCAGAGAGTCAATATGGGTATGAACTTTGTGTAGGTGTAGAGGTTTAGTCAGAAAAGACAGAATTAGACAAAAAAAGTATTTTATTTACTGAGAGTGAATATTTGTCGGCTTGTTTGTGTGTTTGGTTTTACCGGTATGAGTCCAGAGGAACGCAGAACTCTTCAGTGGGGAGAGCTGTACCCAGACATGTTGATCCTTCAAAACTTTGAAGGGGATTGAGAAATGGTTGATGATCTGCAGGGAAAATGAAAAAAACAAGAGTCAAAGGTTATTTCTTTTGGTTTTTTGTTTGAATCTGTACTCCCACTTAAACTGCTGCTTATTACCATTTTAAAAAGAAGAAAACATTTTGGTCAATTATTGCATAATCTGGAAAAACCAATGTGTCTCTACAAACAGGAAGTGCAATCTTTCAAATAAAGCACCTGGCTAAATTACATTAATACAAATTTAATAATCTAAATTAATCTGGGTTAAGTTATGGATAAGGCCCAACTGGGGACATGAGTTGGAAATTAGCAATAGCTATATACTCTTTATGCAGCACATCAGTGTTGTGCTTTGTATTGAAATTATGTTAAATTGCATTGTCCCTGATAAATAAATAAATTCTAAATTCATAGATCTAGTGGGAATCAAGAGAGTGTAATTTATGTCCTTACAAAACACCATCAAATATTTATTTACAGATAAACACAAGTATGACAAATAATCATATTTAGTACCTGGAAAGGAGAGCGGATCTTGATGTACTTGCTGCCCTCCACAGAGTAAATCTGACAGACGAGGAAACGAGTGACTCCTGACTCTTTGTGCATGACGCTGTACATTCCTCTGCCCACCTTGATCAGGGGGATCACGCTGGCTGAGGTGTGGCCCATTGGAGCTGCAGAGCACGGAGGAAATAGAAGCAGTTCATATGCAATCGAGGTATTTTTAATGTGAGAAGTTTAATCGTAAGAGAAGTGTTTTAACTATAAACTGTACAACAACAAATGGGTCATAATGTAAAGGAATTGACAAACTGGATTGAGAAAGATAAAAGACAAGCTGAGTATAATTTAGGATTTGTGTACAACTTCTACTGACTGAATATTAAAGATGGACAACGCATCTCCACAACCTCCTATTGTACAAAACTGAAGCCAAAATAACCCCGCTGTGACAGGCGCCGACATTTTGAACTGGTGTTGTCATTTGGTGAACCAGATTTGCTCAGTAGAGACTCGGCCACTGTTTTCATGTCTCCCCCCTTTAATAAAAAAAAAAAAAAAAAAAAAAAGACATTCACTGATAAAACGATCCCTCAGGTCGGTACAGTCCACCGCAGATGTGATTCTTATGTCGGTTTAAAGCAAACACTCGCGGTTATGGAAAGTTCAACGTCTCTTGTGTTAGTGTTATGTTTCCTCTCACTCAGGAACCTTATATTAACAGAGCTGGCATTGTGTTATTACCCCTTTTTATAGCATCAAATAACTAATAACAACTAAACACAAATCAGCACGATAAGAACAAACTATAATGACAGAAACCATTTTTGAGCTACATTTATTTGAAGTGAATTTGTAATGGTCTGGTTTGACCGATGTCTCATCTGTTAACATGGAGGAGGCGGAGCTTATGACCTATACTGCAGCCTGTCAGTGGGGGGGGGCTCACTTTTGGGAGCTGTTATGTCATCCATCTTTCTATACATATTTATGATTAACACACTTTTAAATGTGCATAAACAAAATATACTTGTGCACATAGGTGAACTTACTGGGCTGTATGTAGTAGTCCTTTCCACTCAGGGAGATCATAGCAGAGAACTGGTCTGAGTCTGTTCTTGAATAGTCCATCCCGAGGGTTTCCCCGTCTTGAAGCTGCACGGTGTTGTTGGTGCTCTGCTGGCCGATGGGACTAAACATGTCACTGTGGCGGACGGACACCAGCAGGCCCAGGCGGTTTTTCACTACAAATGGAGCTTCGTCTTTCTGGAAGGAGTCAGCTGTCTGTTTGGCAGCTTCAGCAAACGCCTGGAAAAAGATGAGACCATAACAATGATGGATGGACTGCACATAAAAGGACTTCCTGCTGAAATGATTGCAGCCCTTCTCATACCGTGCCAAGGTTACTCAGCATGGCCAGTCCACATTTGGAGAGGGTGATGTTGAGCTGGTCTTTACTGCTGACGACAATGACGGTCTTATAGTCAGGGATCTGGTAATCCACCTCATCTGACAATCTAGTGGACTTCACCGGCTTCTTCTTCATCTAGACATCGGAACAATAAAGGGTTTAAAAGTTTATAATTATACTTTTTGAACTCTTCAGGAAGCTAAAACATGAGTGAACTTTTCTGAGAAGTGTTGAATACAATAAAACAAAAAATAATAATTTTATGTAAACAACAAATAAATAATAGAATCAGTGAAAATACATTTTTGCAGAGGCCTCTTAAACGGGACATATGAAAAATCCACTTCTACAGTGTTTCTGAACATATATTTGGGCAACCTGAGTGTCTACTGAGGGGGGGGGGGGCCTTATTGCATTTAAAGAGACACACACACCAAAACGGAGCGTTCTGAGAGAGCTGGTTTATACAGGGTCACAAACCTCCTCTGATGCTTGAATCGTGTTATATTTTGACCAAAGCAAAGCACAGATGTTTCATTTAGACCACAGGGGGACTGTTTGAAAAGGTAGAAAATGGGGATAATATGTCCTCTTTAAATTGTATCAAGAGCTGTTGCTTTCTGAATATACAGCCCTTTCCATACATGCATAAAACTCCTGAAAACTTCTAGAAATGTTGAGTTTGAACTGCACCTGTGAATGCAAATTGCCACGTTTTCCTGCCAACCCCTTATATAAAATTCCCACAAGAAGTTACGGTGAGCTGAGGTGTGAAGGCAGAGATGATATCAACATGGTGAAATATTTTGTGCACTTAATGTTTTAGAAACTTTCAGGAGTGCACGTGTGAAAAGAGCTCACGCTTATCGTACCTTTAATTCCAGTCTCCATGGTCTGAAACCGTCCCTTGTCTCATCCTCTAATGGCTCCAGCAGCGGTTCCCATACTCCCATTACCTCGTTATAATAATGAACCTACAGGCAAAGACACATTAAATCTTCAGTAAAGTTTGCAGCAAAACGAGTTCTGACATAAACTAGTGTAAACAAACATTTAACATTATGACAGACTTGAAAGAATGTCCAACATCTTCATATTTTAGTTGACCAAACATTTGTTTTTATTTCATTGTTTCATGTTTAAGATTTGGATAAGATTCTATGATTAATGTTTTGAGAGAAAAGAAAAACTCCTGTGTGTGCGTTACCTCCAGGTTGAGCTCGCTGTGTAAATTAATGAGCGTTGACCAGTTTGTGACGTCTCCATGGAAGGAGGACTTGGCCAGAAGCATTGGGACTGTGCGGTGTCCCACTCCAGCCTCCAGAGTCAGACATATCGACTTGATGCTCACCTAGTGGAGACAGAGAGCCAATGCAACGACACACACTTTTTAATGCAACAAACTGGGAAATCTTAAACTAAATTCAATGTCCAGAATAAAATACTTAAAAGTTTCTGGTATAAAAATGAGGAAAGTTGAGAATTAAAATGGAAACATGGGTGTATTTCTGTGTGTAAGCAGCCTTTAAGTATTGTAAGGTGAGTCATTGTGCCGTTGAATACCTGTAAAGACTCTCCCTGTGGTATCAGTGGGGCCAGTGATGCCGTGTCCTCATCTCCCTCCTCTTCTAGGAACCAGAGTTTGAGCTCCTTCCAGCCCCGCTTCTGCCACAAGTCCACAGGAACGGGACTTTCCAGCTCCTCAGGGGTCTCCGCTGTGGGCGTCAGTGCTGATTGGATGGTGATCACTGTGTTGATGATGATTGGAGACACCTGGGCGTAGAGGGATGTAAAGATGTTTCATACCAATTTACAGCAAAAAAGCGAGAAGGGGCATCTAAGGGTTTAATGATCAGCACTTCCTGTATCGTAAGACTGCTGGAGTCAGGTTGAATCGATTGAGGAAGGGTCCTTAGGGAACAGTTACCTTCAGAGTGAGAGCATTGATGGAGACCTCCATGGCCTGAGGGGAGGTCGGGGTCTGCGTACTCTGGAAGAACACCTGACACGGCAGCAGCACCGTCGTCACATTGTTTTTCCGCTTCTCTCTCAAGAAGGGACAGGCCACCACCTACAATACAAATCAGAATTAAAAAAGACTTTACTAAGTGGGTTCATTCTTTAAATATGGAAGCCCTAAGCAGACATGCATCCATACATTTTATTTACTCAGTTTCCCTGCGACAACGAGTCATTTAGACTTACTAATCTAAAAATATGTTGAAAATAAATGTTCTATGTAAAGACCACATGTAAGCTATCATTCTCCGCAAATGGGAGAAGGACTGAGACTGACATGAACCTGAAGAAATCTCATTTGGTGCCGGGGTTCTGTCCCCAGAATCTCCTCCTACGATCTCCTGAACTACGACAGTAAACCAAACTGAAAGCTAACTAAAAATAACACTGTAGTGTACCACCCTTAATAACCTGTAAAAGAATGTGTGAAAATATGTTGAAAAAACAAGATCTCAAGAAAACAAAAGCAAAGTAATGTTTGGATGCATGTCCTCTGAGGGCTTCCGTATTTTAACACATCGGGTTCCCAGTTTTACATCATAAATCGTATATGAACCTTGAGGTCCTTGATTGCAGCGGTCATCTGGGACCCCTCTGCATCACTTTTCATCACTAGTTCGCACTCTGTGGTCATCACCAGGGCCGGGGCGTCGGCACGCGTCAGGTCAGCCACAAACACAATCTCCGGGTTTCTCACCACAACGTTCATCTCTGTCTTTGACACCACGGCTGCAGCTGCAGCTGGAGCTGAAAGCAGAAGACAGTATCAGAGGTAAACATCAGTTCAGACCATGAAGACAGTAAAGTGCAAATGATGTCGTATTAATTCTGCATTTATTATACCAATCAAGATGGTGTGAGTGTTCAAAAAAAAAAACGACACATAATAAAAATGCAACCACCTAAACATGTTTTAAACGACCCCTCGGTTTGCAGACAAACAGTAAACCAACAGGTGTTGCAACGACGGAAGCGGGCAAGAGAAGTGGTTCAGATAGAAGTGATTGTACCCGACCTAAAAAGCCTCTGCATGTTTCTAATAAGCTCCACGAGCAGAAACGTGCTCAAACTAGGATCAATATTGGATGCTTTTTGAAAAATGGAGAGAGGTTAGAACACAGAAAGGTTTACAGACCCATGCAGAGCTGGATAAACACTGAAGCTTCAGTGTCCACCACATGGTGACCTGAGTGAGCATCGACTCTAGAGAGGAGGGTGTACCCACTTTAAACGCTAAGTGTTTAAGGTTACATTTGGCTCCTTCAAGTACGAAGTAGAGATGCCATGTGCCTTTTCATTGTACCTCTTTGATTCTGAGTTGTTTTTGAACACTAATTAACATTTTTACAGTTTGCTTTTACGACATACAATAGACTAACAAAAACAGTCAAAAAAGTCTTCCATAACCTCTCTACTTAATAGCTATGTATTATTAAAAGATCTCTCTGCATCAAATATCAATATAATAAAGAGTAATATTACCATATATATATATATCAATATTGACAGCCACTTAATGATAGTTATACTGTTATTTTTCACTCACTTGACTCTTTAGATGCGATGGAGGTGCTAATGTTCTTTTTATCCGCTCCTCCTGAACTGCTCTTGGGCTGCGGCACTTGAGCAAAACCCTGCTGGGTGGCCTTGAGGAAGATGTCTGCCACAGTGAGCAGGAACTCCATGCTGGCACACAGGTAAATATCCTGCACCACTGTGTCCAAGGTGGTGCCATCACGGCCCTGATGGTAGTTCACCTCCACCATCATGTGCTGCTCGGCACCGGGACGCATCGCTATCATCCTGAAGAAGACGGAGAAGAACGGAGTTAAGGAAACAAACAAGGTGGGATGTGGAGAAGAGGACGAGGTGGGAGTATAAATGTGTTAGATGTTTGGAAAAAATGTGGCCTTACAATGGCGGTTTCAAAGTAGATTGTAGAGGAAGATGAATGACTAAATAAATAAACATTATGTGTGCTTTTAGGACCTCGGAGTGACCATCTTGATCCTGGGTCTCTTATCATCGAGAAGACAGGCAGCCAGTCGCACTGACGCCTTCATGGAGCTGTCGGAGAACATGTGGACGGAGGTGGAGATGGTGCCCAGAGTGAACTCTGCCAACTTCAGCTGCTCATCGTGTGAATCCAACACCTGTAACTAAATGAAGAAGTTGAACACTGTTAGATATGCTATAGTGAAAAGTTAGTCTTGTTTTCTATTTTTTGCACACACACTGTTTTTATGCATTACCACATTGCCATTGGGGCTGTACAAGACCAGCGTCATCGAGTCAAACTTGAAGTCCAATTTGAGCGTGCTCTTCAGCTTTCTGGTTTTCTGAGTCTCCACGACAGCCGCCGTCACTACCGTGTTACCTGCAGAGTTATCGTCACATGCAAGATAAGCTTTAAGCTGTTTAAAGTTGATACACACATCAAGCATAACCATATTCTCCTTACTGCTGGCTGGTCCTGTGGTTCCAGAGCCCTGAGACTCTTTGTTAGACACAGAGTCAGAGGAGTGGTCCGTGGTGGGCAGAGGAGGGAGCGCTGGAACAGCATCCGACTTCTCAGACAGGTTTTCACTCAGAGTCCTCAGGACCACCGTCATGTCGTCCTGGCTCAGGATCAGCTGTTGGGAACACAAAAATTACATAATCTATAATAATCTAAACACTTCATGTCGAATTCCTTTTCATGCTACCATACAGCGTCACTTACACTCATTGGTTTAAGATGAGCAGTGATCTCTATGTCAGGAATGTCGTGGTACCAGTTGGATGATAGATTTCTCTGGATTTCCAGGTCCAGGCTGACGGGCTTCAACAGCTGTGTCTCTCCTTGAAAACCTTCATTTATATAAGTGGTCCTGAAAGCAGCAAACAACAAAGTGAGGATGATTTTGTTTTTGTTTAAAGAGAGCAGCAGGTTGACTATACCGAGTTGTTCCTAAAGAGGGCTGCTGGTCTCTCACCTGTACATCTTGAGGTCTGTCAGCTTCACAGCCATTCGATCCACAACAGGCGGGATCTTCGTGTTGCTTTTACAAGGCTGCTTGGCAAATTCGTTCTTGACGGACAGCAAACCGAGGTCAGCTACGATGACGTTGGAGGAAGTGGAGGACTGGGGCAGGAAGATGACGGGCGCGTTAAAGTGGACGTTTAGAGCGATCCGCGTGCTCCGCTCCGCCAGTTCCTTGACACCCGACGCGGCCTTTCCTGCGGCCTGGACCGTCACCTCGGTGAGGGCATCTTTAGCCTCCTGGAAGTTATTGATGAACGCCTGGAGGGAAGTAAGGACGACAAAGTTAGAATATAAGAGAGGTACTTAAATTAGATTGGAAATGTGGAAAAGACGGTCAACACACACACACTAAAGGGGTCATATTCTGCTTTTTCTGGTTTTATATGCTCTGTAGTGTGTTTTCCAAGTGTCCTGTGCATGTTTAGGAACATCTATGTGCAAAAATTCAAAGTCAGTGGAAACATGGCTTCTCCTACGTCCTCCTGTTAGCTGTAGCATTAGCTGCATGTAACGCTCAGTTCTAGCCCCCTTCAATAAAAATTTGCCAATGTGACATCTTGTCAGTGTGATATCACTGATCTAAGCCCATTGGCTCGTTGTGGTAAGCCCAGCAGCTCATGTAGCACGCCCATGATATGCCGTAGCCTGCGGTAGCACAGTAGTGCTAAGGTGCTAATGTTTTTGCTCGGCCCTCGGAGCCAAAGTGGCTGCATTCCCAATATGGTAAAAGGGGCATGACATTTCCGAGAACCGTGCTGAGCGACTGACCAATTACGGCAGAGCAGAGAGGCCGACCAATCAGATCAGACTTGGCACACGTGGGGACTCTGAACGTGGGCACTTCAGAGCCTTAGAGAGAGAGTCAGAAGCGAGCCGGTGCATGGAGCGGCTGTTCATGAAAACAGACACTTTTTTAGAACTTTAGCTATTGTGAACATACTTTAGTAGGTACATAGATTAAATATACGAACCCCAAAAAGGCATACTATGACCTCTTTAATACATAGAGACATCTCTTTATTGTCCACAAAGGGCAAATCTGCCAAGGTCAAAGTTCAAAGAATCATACAGCTCAGTTCAACATACAACCCACCCGATGGACAGCTGTAAATAGAGATCAAGTAGAGCCTCACACACTTAATAAAAGTTAAAGTATTTTGAATTTGCACAATAAGCAAAACATAAAAAATAAACAAGTAATAGAAGACTAAAACTAAAAGGCTAAATATAAGTAAAACGATTAAATACTGTGCCTCGGGCTGGATCAGCGGGGGTTAAACTTGGCTGGTTGTTGTTGTTGTTGTTTTGGTTGAATTACTAAATGACTTCCTCTAAAGACGGGCACACAGTGATGACTTCACCTACATCATCCCTCACAGCTGAACTGAATGTAAAACAGGCTGACTCTCGCATCTTAAAGAGGAACAGGGAAATTGTGATTCTTACCAGAATGGAAGAGACAAACTTGTTGAGGAAGACGACCTGGATGCATCCCACAGTCAGCGTGACAAAGGTGTCGACTTTAGACATGTCCAGATAGGCGTCCCCTTCTGTGGCGTCTGTATAGTTTACCATGCGGAAGGCAAACACTTCCTTATCTGCTATCGACACGGCCTACGAAACGAGTGAGAGACAGGATGGAAAAAAAGAACATGAAATCAGGACCATCAGACAGCTTTTAGTTTCATTCTGTGCAACAAAAAAAAACAATTGGAAATTATTCCAAAATTCTTGATTAATATCATACTGTAGACACAAAGTTTCAGTGCCAGACACAGCATGTCCTTGTAACCATAGTAACTCACTGTGATCAGCCTGCATTCAAACAAGACATTAAAGAACTGCTGCCAACTTTGTATACTCTGATCATTATGTACAGAAATAAAAAAATGCCCTCATCTTGTATTACAAGTTACATATCGTTGTGTTTTATAAGGAAGTAATAACCCAAGTGGGGACCTCTGTGACCTCACAACTTCCTTTGTAACTGAAACATACAAAAAACATCAAATCAAAATGTCCTCAAACGTTTACCCCTTTAACACAACCTGTGTCGTTATCTGTCGGCTAACAGACGATTGTTTTGTGACTTTGGAGTATGATTAATTAAGCAGGTAAATGATCACAAAAAAGCAAGATGGCTCACCCTTGAACTTGGCAAATCAAGAGGTTACGTCTGAGCTGAATACCAACTATCATCTATATGAACAATCACATTCCCAATATATATATTTATAGACTTAAAGGCTTTATATGCAATTTCTTGATCCAGCAGATGTCGCCCTTGAGCACCAGCATGAAACCAAAAACAACTCGCGAGGATGATTACTTAAGAGCTTAGAGGTTTGACTTTTGCACATTTTACCTTCTTGTAAAAGGCATCTTTGTCACAGTCCAGGATCACAATGTTTTTCAGGTTGGCCAGAACCTCCATCTCCTTCTTCCTCATCAGAACCTCAGAAACCAGACCTGGATGGTTGAGAAGGTGAGACAGTCAATACACAAGAGGAACATTCAGTCAAGGCTGCATCAGAGAAAGGTTATCCAAAGGACAGGAAGAGGAAACTGGCAGGTTTGGGTTGAACTGGTGTTGACATGCAAAACTATTTATGACTCAACACAAGCACATGCACAGAAATATAATAAAGAGGGAATATATTTCTGGTGTTATGAAAGAGGATATGTCACAAACAGTTTCATACCTTCGATTCTAATCTCACAGATCCTGGCTTTCTGTCCTCGGATGAAAACCTTCAGACAGCGGAGATCCGCTCTGATATGCAGATTCACCACGTCTGCAAACTTTTTACTTTTTGTACCTTTAGAAAAAAAGATGCAGAGAGGAAAGATGAGTAACTAAAGACACATACTTACAACACATCAACAGATTAAAATGTGAATACATTGAAGAGGAAACATCGGGATAGTTACTCTTTTTCTTGGTGATCGCTGCTTCTCCCTTCTTCTCGCCCTCCTTCTCTGCCTCGCTCTCGTCCTCCTCGGGGATGGTGGGCAGCTCCTCCGTGCCTCCCTCTTTCTTTGTGGAGGGAGGGAGGAGGTTGGTGAGGAAGTTCATGGTGTTGAGAAGAGCCTCTGTATGGAGATGTACGTCCAGGGAGGAGAAGGTCACCTGATGGAGAATGACACGATATAATATCAGTGCTTCTTTACTTTTGTCTACATTTTTTTCTACCGTTAATTAAAATTTATTGTTTTTGTCGCTTTTTAAAACTGATGATGAAATCTTCATGAAAACACTTTGAATATTCCACATTATTTAAATACAGCATACATAGAAGCAGATACCCTATACCTTACAAGGGCTTTCACACCTGCAGAAAAATCTTGATATTGACAGGAGGAGCTGTAACTGTGAACGCAAACAACCGGATTGTTCCCCCGGAGTTTCTCCTGCCAGACTCCTAGTATTTTTCCCGCGGTAAGTCAGAGTGAACTGACACGAGAAGGCAGCAGGATATTCTCCGGAGAATTCACCTTGAGCCAATAGGAGGAGTGACGTTTCTAATACTGTGACTGGAGTCAGCGTGCACGTAATTAAAAGGCTGCATTATGTTTTCTGTTCCTCAGTATGTTGTTCTCCGCTCTTTTGTTGGTACTCTAATTCCGTTGAACTAAACGTAGCATTGATATTGAGGCAAATATTCTGGTGCATATGTGAACAGCCAGGTCAGGAGAATATCGGGAGCAGTCCTCCTGAAATTATCTAGAAATTTTGAAAACAGCTCATGTGTTAATTTCTCTCACCTTAATAAGCTGCTCTGTGTTGTTGTGTTGGGATCTGAACTCAGGTCCGTTCTTATCAGCCTAAAAAAAGAGAAACAATCTTGAATGCAGAACCCATTAAACACCATCTGGAAAACACATAATAACAATTGTGGCACGACTTAAAACAAATGGAGACTGACTATTTTGATTCATCACACATACCTTTATATACTCCAGGGTAAGAAGGTCCACCTCTGTGTTATCCAGTGTGGTGATCAGCTGAACCTGCTTTTCTTCAGAATCTACACACAGGAAGAAAACTTTACATGAAAGAGCTGCCGCATAGATTCATCTGTTTTTCTATTCATCAAAGCTCATTTAAAGTACGTACTTGACAAATCTAAAAAAAAGATTTTGGTAAGTAAAAGTGGAGCGACACCGTCCTTTAATCATCTACTGACCCATGTATTCAGGGCACTTGAGGCAGATCTCTCGCAGGTAGGTGTTGGATGTCATGTCAAAGGTGCGTAGTTTCAGTTCAGTGCCAAGACCCTCTATGTCCAGGTGGAGCACCGGGACCTCCTGATCCTCAGACAGACGACACAACTGAACAGAAAACTGGACAAACAGAGGAGGACACAGAGGAGAGAAGTTAGAACCATCAAGACATGAACATAGAATTTAACAAAGGATGTCACAGACTTCTCTTTACCTCACTGATTTCAAAGGTCAAGATGAGGTCAGTCATGTTTTTCTTCACATCTTCCTTGATCAGACCTTTTCTTTTGTGCAAGTCCGCGTAGCGCAGTGGCATGGGGTTATCTGCGAAGAATGGTTTTTCACCAATGGGAGAGCTGGGAGCGTCATAGAACAAATCTTCTTCTGAGCCTGAGGGTTTTCAAAAAGAAAAAAAAAAAACATACCATGAGCCCTCCTCTGTTAAACTATAGGCACAAATACACAGCAGTGCAATATGTTTGGATGACTGTTTCACACATGCACTCCTGAAAATGTCTAGAAAATTTCAGAACAGCCTTGCTCTCTCTTACACATGTCCCTCACAGCGGGAGATTTTTGATGGCGTAAAGAAGGAAGCTGCAAAAAACACTTTACATTGTGTACATATATCATACACTAGTCATACACTATGATGACAGCCTTAGTATAAATGCGACGTGTCATTAGTGTGGCAACAAACATCCTGTTGAGCAGAAACGTTCTGAACTGAACTGCACCACTTGCGTCACAGAAATGTCATCACCCAATGCCCTCGCTTGGGGTAAATGTCCCTGAGTCTTTCCTGCTGTGTTCACACATCTGCTCACCCTGGCTTCTTGCTCAAATTTTACTCGTAGAAAAGAAGTCTGGATAAAGTCAGGTGAAAAATTCTGCAATTTCCAACCTCACATCAAAATGTCCTAAAGTTTTCAGGAGATTTGTGCATGTGTGAAAAAGGGATTTTTGAGGGGCAAAGCGGGATACTGGATGTGCAGTGTCTCTCACCCAATGAGGTGATGCTGATGGTCTCACATGACTCGAACATGAGAGACGAGCGCTGGTCAGCCAGGTTCAGAGGTCTCCTGGGAGTGAGCTGAGGGGTGAACGACCTCGGCTGAGGAGCAAAGGAAATTAAATCATGACCCAAACCAGCAAATACATTTGCTTATAACCAAATAAACATGTAAACACAGTACTTGTGTGCTCTCTGCCTTTTGTGTTAAGTTAAGTGTTTAATGTATCTGCAGGTTTATGTGCTCTGTTTGTGATTTCATGTCATTTTTGCTTATGTACCTTTTCTGGGTTTTATGCATTTATGCTCTGTTAATTCACTGTGCAGCACTTTGGTAACACATTAATTGTGTAACTCATTTACTTATTTTCTGCAGGTCTTACCTTGGAAGGAGCCGAGCTGTTTGCAGGTCTGCTCTCGGGCAGTGGGATACTGTCTACCAGCTCCAGAACACTCCGAAGTTTGACGTCAGAAATACGAAGAGACAGCAGGGGGAGCTCTCCAGACATCTTATACCTGACGATGCAAACACAAACGGATAACCTTTCATTCACGTCCACTCAGCTTTTTTGATGCTTCCAAAATGGGAAATATAATAATATCCACGTAGAAGAAAAAAAACTACAAACTTACTTTGCCATGCGGGAGTCTTTGACAACCATCGCCCTGCTGAAAACGACCTTAAGATCCACCGGCTCTAGGATGTGGAGAGGTGAACGCTTCTGCTTACGGGCCATTTTCCAGTCACCATCTATCACAGCGAGAAAGTTTAATATCAGACACACACAAAAAAAGATCATTTTGTTGGAGTGATGTTGATTTTCTTGATACAGTAACTCTTTCTGAACGGTTAAGCTGTTTTTCATTAAAAGAAGTTTGAGCATCCTGACGTCTCCAAGAGTAGTTTAAATCAGCTGAAACTCATAAGTGACCTCTCGGCCTCTCGGTAAAATCCCTTCAACACTCAACTGGGTGCATGCTCTCGTGTGTGTGTGTGTACCTGGTTTGCTGTAAAGAAACTGCAGGCTGCTTAGCTGGATATCAAAGCTGTCGTACGCTCTCGACATGAGGTCTTCAATGTTGCAGGAGCCCACTGACAGCTGAGGCAGGTGCTTCTTGCTTTGACTGGACATCTGAAAAAAAAAGACATCAAAATAACATTTAATGTCCGGTATCGCTGTTTAAAACCTTCGATTCCTTTGGAAAATAAATGAAACTGCTAAATTCACTTGACTTTTCGTTTTTTCAGAGCATCTTGTGTATCTTCAGAGAAACTAACACAGTCACTTGTTTGCACTTCCTGACCTGGAAATGACCGAGATCCAGCAGCATGATGTTCTGCGTGCCGTTGTAGAAGCCCGTCTGTGGAATGATGACATACGAGGCCATCAGGTTCACCTTCAGGTCCAGAACTTTCTGGGTTTCGATCACGTACATTAAACCTTACAAAAGGACAAAATGCAATTAAAATAATAGCCATAGCCAGAACACCAGATTCATCGGTTTGATCTATTACACAAATAATGATGACAAATACAAATCTTGATTCATTTTAACACTTAGGAATTCTCCGTCTTAACAAATATATCATGGTGTATTTTTGTTGCCAATTTCACAAGTACAGAGATTGTTTTAAAAGAGGAGTTCACACATCCAACTCTCTCATGAAGTAGGTGAATAGGACATCAAACTATCACATTGAAAAGAGAAAAAAAATAAAATAAAATCACACACACTACCCTCAACAAGGTTCAGAGGGACCGAAACGTTGTGATTTTTTCTGATAAATTGGTGATGCCTAGCAAAGATCTGGAGAAAATTACCAACCCTGCCTTTAAGAAAATCATTTTAATAGCACTCTAGGAATAATTCAATAAAACATTACGTTAAATCCTTGAAATGTTAGGCCTTAAATTGCCTTAATGAAATAATATCAGAAGCCTATGAACTTGTATCCAAATGAGATAAAGGAAATGAAGACAAGGCTCGAAATTGTAGCAAAGAAATCTCAGGAAACAATCAGTCTCGAAAACATAAACAGGAAAACAACAATCCAACTTACTCATCAGACTCTGCATGAGCACGTGAAGAAACTAAATGACGCATGAAAAACAACGACGGAGAAATGTAGATATTTGCCCTTCAGAAAAGTTGAGACAAAGCTCTGCCTCCCCTCCTGATACTCAGTACAGGTCATGTACATGTTGGTGTAACTGACCTGTGGCTGTGCGGTCTCTAAACTGCTCCAGTTTCATGAGGTGGCGTTGGTGAGCTCGTCCAGCTGCAGGTCGTCAGGAGGCATGAAGAACAGCGACATGCTGTTCACCGTTATCTACACAAACAAACAACACATTTAATATGCATCTGAATGTTTCATGCTCATACTTTAATCCTGAGAAGAAACCACTCACAGCATCATAGATGATTTCTAAAGGCTGTGATTCCACATGGAGCCGCTGGTTGGCGCTCTCGTCCAGCGGGTTGGTCTCAAACAGGATGCAGAGCAGCGGGGTGCCCGATCCTGTGGCTGCCTTACGGGACGACAGGAGCGTAGGTGCAGGTCGGTTACTGGCCAGGCCTGTGACTTCAAACAAACTGAGCTGAGCTGTGATTCTGAAGAAAAGAGGAGAACGAAACAAATATTTAGGGGAACATTTAAGTTGTCGCCCTACTGAAAAAATAAAAGTACAACTTCAAGTTTGCTATTCTTCATCAGGGTTGTCAAGATACCAGAATTTTAAACTTAGATATGATACAAGTTAAAATCACACGACATGGATACCAGTTTTGATACAACAGCAACAAAAGCAGAAGCCCTAAGCACCAAATAATGGGTAAGTTCTTGTTAAAAACTGCAGGCAAACTCCTGCAAAATGTCTAAATTGCACAAATACACTGCACCAAAATGTGGCCAAGTATTTATGAAATTTAGACAGCGCTCTCTCTCTCTCTCTCTCTCTCTCTTTTTTCTCATGGTTGCCTTTGGTTAAAACTGAGAAAAGATGTACAGTTTTTTCTAAAGCTTCAGTACTTTTTGTTACTATCGATCATTAAAATAATAGACTGTATTGTTTTAGAAGATGTGGCATCAAAAAGTATTGAAGTATCCAAACATTTTGTCTATCATAAAACCAAACGTCCGCTGAAGGATTTTTTTTTTTTTTTACGTTGGTTGTTTTTTTGTTTTTTTTTGCAAGAATTTTCAAATTACAAAATATTTAAGTGATAGATTCTCTTTACTTGTTAGTCAAAATGGGGCTCGGGTTTAGCTCAGTGGTTGAAGCACACGTTCAGGGGTACAGAGGTTTAGGCTCTCTTATCGACGGCCCCAGGTTTGACTCTCACCCTCGGTTATTTTCTGCACATCTTATCCCGTTTTTCTCAACTCTATCTACTGTCCTTCCCTCTCAATACAGGTAATAAAAGCCCCGCAGAAGCCCCCTTTTTAACATAAACTTCTCATATGTTTAGAGGATTTGGCTTCGTAAACATAAAAGAAGTTTAGACATACTTGATAGCTTGTGCTCCGGGTCTCTGTGTGAGTGTGGACAGGAGCTCTTCCACAGTCAGCTTGATGATCTCGTTCTTGTCTTGCTTGTCTTTGATGGACACGGTCAGCCTCTCCATGTGGAAGTTCACCTTCATGTCTTCAAACTAAAAAAAAAAGGGACAGAATCAAAGTATCGCACCTGAGATTTGCATTTTGATCTCTGTATGACTGTCTGAGCGGGATGAAGAACAAACGTTTGTGTATTTTTAGGGGACAGGCGGGTGTCTGGGGGAGGTGACTCACATTTTTTGGCAGGTTGGGATTAGCAGTGGTGGCGTCGCTGTATCCGATGGCAGTGTAGAGTTTAGCTTTCTCAGCGGAGGTTAACAGCTCATCAAAACCTAACACATCGAGACAGAACAACAGAAAACACAGAATTAAATCAAGAGGTGTAACAAGGACAGAAATAAACTGCTTAAAGACAAACATACAGGAGCAATATAACCAAACCCATCTGTCCACATCATTATAAAAAAAGAAATCTAAAAACAAGACATCAACAAAGGAATACAATCACTACAGTTCACAGAGACATTTGCACCAGGAGGAATACCTTGTGTCACTCAGTGTGGGCTGAGTGAGAGACATTATCATGACATTTCCTAAATGTATACATAAAATTAAATGTGGAGACATTTTCAGTGTAGGAGCCATATGGTGTGTTTTACCTCGGTTGATTATTTGTTATATTTTACTCCTTATATGGAGTTTCTTATTATGTCCAGTAATAAGCAGTGGGCGTGGTTTACTTTATTTATTACCTGTGCATTTGGGGGTGGCGGGAGCGAGACAAAGAGGGTGAGTGCTTTTGAAATATTTTCTATTGACCGTCATCGTCGTTGTATATAATCATCATCATCTAAATTATCATCTTTGGACGTTTTGTTTATAAATACATTTTCCCTATTTTGGTTTATTAAATCTACAAAAGATATCTGGACTTTTTAAAAATATTTTTACAGCACGAATGAGTCACAGGTACAAACAAACTTAGTATCTCTGTGCGGCATTTTTCTATCTTAAGCTGCCACAATATTCAGTATCAAACATTTGACCTGCTGTTAGAATGAATTTTCATGAATCATTCATCTTGGTCATTTTGTGGATATATCTTTTAATATTGTCAACCATGTTAGGGTGATTCTTCTTTTAGGTCTGTGTAGCTTTAATACATATGTGTTAGTAATCTCATATATAGCTATATTTGGATTGGATCCAAGTGTATGAAAATGTGATTCTCTGAGGTTGAAGAAGTGTAAATGTCAGACATCATTATCATGTTACTTCAGCATCTTTTGCACTACTCACCACTGCTCTGTTTCTTATTTAGTCTTGTACATATTAGTCTTTGTTTATTGTGTTTATTGTTGATATTTAATCTTATGCTTGTACATAAGAGAGCACAGTTCAGCGAAGTTTAATTCCTTGTGTGTGTAAACATACCTGGCCAATAAATCTGATTCTGATTCATTTACATTTACAATGGCCTATTAGAAGTGTATCCAAATGGAAATGAATTTGTAGGCTGTACCTTCTAGAAAAAAATAAGGAAGACTGTTAACATGAAAGGTTTGTCAGCCATGCGTGCCTGACCTTGGCCAAATAAATTCTAAGATAACCCACAGTCTGTTTTAGGATTTCACCGTTTAATATTTACATCACCTAACACTTCCATCTTGGTAATTTGAGGAATATTCTGAATGCATCTGTAACTTTTCATTTTAGCTTTACTGTCATCGCACCACAGGTGATCCGCCTACAGCAGAGTACAGTAAACTCTGTTTTAACATTATCCGTGCATATTTGAGATTTGGGAACCAGCATACTAGCTTGAGCGTGCAGTTTGTAGTGTTTGCTACACGTGTGTTTTATCCTTTATGTGTTTTAAAATGTTTTACATCCTACCTCCAGTCTTGACTTCTTTTCTTTCCTCTTCTGGCTCTGCTCCCCAATTCCACATCCAGCTTACCCAACCCTGGGACTGCTCCTCCTCCATCTTTAACCCCGGACGGTAGATACACAAGCCTGCTTTACTCGCCTGTGTAAGAAAAGATGAAACAAAAAAAAAGAGACAGTGACGAGATCCAACTTCTTTACAACTTCAACAAATGAGAAATAATTTATCTTGATGCTGTCACTTAAAACAGTTAAACTAAATCAAATGAAAATGAATCTGTTGGCAGTTTCCTTCGATGATTCTGTCAATCTGAGTATTTAGGTGGCTACAAATTGTTTGTGTCCTTTCAGGAACAGAAAGCTTAAAGGTGTAATATGTAGAATTTTTATATTCAAATATCTTAATTAATTAAAAATTGACTAAGCCTATGTGTTATATATTTTTTTGTTGAGTAATAACATTACCTCAAATATTTCCAACACATATCACAGCTAGAGAAATACTTAATGTTATAGTTCCAACAGGACGTGTCTTGTCGTGGTAGCTTCCATGATGAGCCGCCATTACGTCAAAGACTGCTACATAAGGAGGCGGGAGCTGCTACTGAAAGCTGTCGCAGTGTTGCTGTTTGTGCTGCTGTGATAAAAAACGTCACGTACATTATACTTGGAAACATCGTCTGTAAACATATCCTCGTTCTCAGGTCGGTTTCGCCCGTTCGTCTTTACTACGGTCAACGCGGAGTTCGTTTTCACTGAAGGTGGTGGGGTGGGCAGCAGAGAGAACTCCCACCACGACGTCATCTTTTTGTTATTGTTTTGATTGAGAGCCCCCTGGTGGCGGAATTTACATACTGTGCCTTTAAGAGGCGGATATTCACAACTTCATCTGCCTCTCAAAAGGAATCTAACCCAAAGGAATGCTTTGCTCGTCCCTAATATTTACTAGTGAGTTTGTTTTATATGAGAAATATTATGTTGAGAAAAAACAATCTATGGCAAATTGCTGATTAGGAAATTATTATTTTTTTGTCAGAGATCAGCTGTGAAGGAAAAAAGGACTGCAGTGAAGTAAGACATACCACATGGAACTATTTTATAACACCTCAGCCAAAACCACAACCACATGATGCAGCCGCTGAGAACTGCAATAACTGTCTCTTACGTTCTGCTTATACTCTATGTGGTAAATCAAGCAGGCAGAAACAGAGCTGTGCTTAAATTCTACTATCTTTGTTTGTTATTTTTTGTAAAACAAGTATTAATCTGTTTTTTTCATGCTTTAAAAAAAGGTAAACAATTGGAAATATAAGGATTAAACTAAATGTAATTATTAGCTACAGTACAGCGAGGAACATTTCTAACCGGCAGCTGGAGTGGATCACCGGCTCAGTCTTAAAAGATGAGTCCCCTCCTCCTTCCTTCTGGACGAAGACTTTCAGTTTCCAAAGTACAGAACAACAGCTTTGTCCCAGAAGCCGTTATAGAGCGGAACAAGTCGTAGTGTGTGTGTGTATCTATCATGTTTTTCCTCTTTACTGCTTGATGTGGTCGTTGTAATTTCATGAAGAGCTGGGAAGCTGTTGTCATGCTTCTTAGTGGTCCATTATTCATTTATTGTGTATTTCTGGTGTTCTGAGCCCTGTAGCTTTTACAGATCAACTTGTTTTATCAATTGTACGATTGGAACCTGCGCACTTTATGCATCTCGTACCGCGTGCACTTTGTACTGTTTTATGTATTGTCTGTGTTTTATTAAGTGACTCTCCCTGCAATCAAATTTACCTACAGGGTACAAATAAAGTAACCTGAACCTGAGTTACATTTAGGAGTGTAAGCACAGAAAGAAAAAGGTGACACAGTATGTTAGACAGTGAGCTTACCTCCACCTCAGCCTGCTGTCTGGCTAACGTGATGTTAAAAATATCCAAGGTCTTCTCAGGCCCCTGTGAATAATCACGAGAAAAATTGATTAGAGCTTTCAGCAGCTTCTTCAAGCAAGGATGCATTACTTACCAAATGTCCATTATGATCCACGTCAGGGAAAGATGATGCTCAGAGAGCGGAAGACCGACAGAGGAAAATACCTTTTCATTTAAGGGTAGTGTTACTCTGAGATACATTATCAATCTGAAATGCACTTCAATCAATCCTTGGATAGTGGATAAGTAGGTTCGTGATTACGACTAGAGCAGGCGGTAAATTCCTCTCACTGCAAGGATATTGAAAAAGTAATGTCTTTGCAATTAACTACTGGACTATTACATTACAAATATTTTATAGGGCATGAATCACATTGCTGTAGTCGATAAGGTTTTTGACAGAACGCAATCAAGCAGAAACTGCAGGGCTGCATAGGTATGAACTGTCTGGATGTATGTGCAAGGAATACATTTAGCTCCAAAAAGGAACAAAATACCCACAACATTACTTAAAATAATAGCATCATGAAAGCATGATACTGTATTAGAGTAAAAGAGGTTGTATAAAGGGACATTATCCTAAAAAAATGATCTTTTTAGAACTTGAAGGACTAATGCAGAAGTGCAGATAAAAGTGGTGTAACAAGTTGTCTTGTTTCGTTCAGGCCTGTCTCACCTCTAGCGCCTTGAGCAGCTCCTCGCTGGGTTTCTTGCTGGTGATTTTGGTCTTGTAGAGCTCTTTGTAGCGTTTCACCATCTGCCGGTGGCGGCGAATCTGATCCCATGACCACATGTGGAGACGAGGCTTCACGTCCACTTCCAGGGTGCCTGTTATTATGTACTTCCACCTGCAAGGCAGAAAGATAAACAGGAGACACACATTTTAACCTTCAATATGTAAAACCAACAAACAAAATGAGGGTAAGAAGTCACAAGGAATATGATCATATGGCATTCAAAAACCAATAAGTGTGTTTTCTGACCATATATGGGCATTGGTGTGAACTTGGACCGCGGGTCTGTACTTCCTGTACGGCAGGTTGCGTGACATCATGTCCACTGAGCCCAGCAGCTCCAAGATGCTAATGTACTGGAAAGAGAGGAAGCCAGCAATTACTCAGAGGACTTGATCTCATCTTCTATCTCCCTCTCCCAGAAGAAGAGTTTCAAAGACACAGTTTTACACACGAACAGAACACCAACCTGGGCTCTGTTCAGTTCAATGGCCACCTCACTCAGATTGACCATGAGGTCCACTTTAGGAGAGGAGAAGTCCACATCTGAGCGGGGATTCATCCGCAGTTTAGCGTCGGCTGAGATTGGACGGAAAACTGTGTACCAGCAACAAGGAAGAGATTATTTTAAGCAAATTTTTAATCATTGCATTTTTATTTTTTAATACGTTTTGGTGCAGAACATGGCTTTGTTTTCATGGGTAAAAATTGACAAGTATTTTGGTTGAATATAAAATACTAAATGAGGCAACGCCTGCGAGCTAGTTCAGGCAGAAAACACTCTAGCTGCACAGATTTTACGTCATTCTCACAATCTCCAATCATCACATCCTCACAAGTGAGTGGTCTCTCCCTCTGTTCCGTCAATATCTGAAATCCGTCCACCACACCCAGCATTCGCCTGCAGGCTCCGACTGGGGTTTAAGTTATTTCATCACCACTCCTCAATTACTGCATTTAAAATAAATCTACGAGGAGTGAGGAGGTCGGAGCCTAGGCGCCAAACTCAAACTTTGTTCAGCTGCTGCAAAAAATGTGCAAACATGGGTCGTCTGTGCTTTTGCCTCAAACTGAAAATCAAAACAACACATTACATGAGAGTATTAAAATATGACAGGGAGACACTCACTGAAGTCATGGCCGACAGAGAGAGAGCTGTTGGTTTCCATGCTACTCTGAAGACATCGCTGTTGAATAACAAAAGGGAGAGTTACAGAGATTAGTTCCTATTAATAAAGAATATATTTCATCCATCAAACTATTATAAAACCACATGTACAAACATTACACTAGCTCGGCTTTGTGGTTGAAATTAATGGCTATAAAGTTCTGCAGGGATCTTTGCACAAGCAATTTGCACAGGCAATATTCAGAAATAACAGCAAACGGCCCACAAGGATTGATTAATTCAGTGACTCTAAATTTGAAGCTGGTCCATGATGTGCTCACAATAATGGTGTTGTGTTTTCAACCTCTCAAAAAAAGGTAGAGTAAGGTATAGGCAAATCCAGGCTAGTGGGAACAAAGTTTAGCACGGTAACATGAGAGTGACTCACCAAAGCCTCGTCCGCACTGTGATTAGAGAAGAGAGTCGAGTTGACATTCCAGTAGGCAAACAAGTCGTCGAGCTGAACCAACTGAGAAGAAGGAAGAAGGAAAACACAGAGAAATTAATGGTGTGGTGTTCTGACAGAGATACAAACAAAGCAGAGCTGAGCTGACAGTAGAGAAAAACATGTATGAAGTTTGGATTTGGGCAAAACACTGCGCATCAAATTAGCTCAAAAAGTTTTTAAAAAGTTGTTTTTGTATTTATTTTCTGGGCCTTTTGCCTTTATTGGACATGACAGCTGAAGGGAGACAGGAAATGTTGGGAGGAGAGAGAGATAGGGGATGTCAAGCAGCAAAGAGCTGAGGGCGGATTCTAACAAGGATTATAGCCTCTGTACATGGGGCACGTGACATAAACACATGGCTGTTTGTGCTCCCAAGTAAGTTTTTTAAAAGTGAGACAAACCAGATTTATGTGCATGTTTGTATGTATGTCTATATATATACACATTCTCTTATTATTATTATTTATTTTTTCCCTGTTCTCTTCTTCTTTTCCTCCCTCTTTTTATGATGGCCACATTAACACCAAACATTTTATAACTTTATATATAAATATAATGTTCCTCTTTCCATTAATGTTGACATATATATCTTTTTTTTTTTCTTTTTCTCTCAATTATCTTATATTTTTCTTGCTACTTCCCACTCAGCCACTCACTTTAATGCATTATACTGCCACACACACATTCAACACTTTTCTTATACACTACCTCAACTTACTACTTGACTTTTATTATATCTACTTTAATTGTATTTGTCTTTGCTAATGTTTTGCGTATTTTGATTTTGTTTTGTTTATTTCTGTTTTTGTTTATTTGCCGTTGCTTTAATTGTTATGTCTATGTGCACATTTTTGTTTGCACTTATCACAAAAAAAAGTGAGACAAACTTGCACATTACACCAGGGGACAAAGTACTCAAATGTAAAACATGCAATAACCACACACATGACATGTTTGAAATTCTTCTAAATAGAATTTGTTAAATTGGTGGAATTTCTTACCTTAAAGAAAAGCCGGGAATTTTCATCCAGCAGACTTGGATTCCAGTTCTTATCCGCTGTCTACGCGAGCAAACAAGCAGTGATACATTTAATGTTTTTGTTTCAGATATGCCTGCAAACACCTTGAGACTGAATGTAATTCAGGATTTAGTAGACCAAAGGGACTTCACAATGCATTACCTGAAGGCTGAGGTTTTTAAGGGACACTCCAAAGGACAAAGGACAGTTTGGATTAGTGACCTGTGGAAAGCACATGACAGTAATAAGATCTAAGCTCACGGGAGGCTGGTTTAAAAGCTTACTTTACATTTGATTTGAGCTTGATTTACTCTGAACACATTTCATGATAGTAAGTAACCCGGCTTGAGCACTCACATCGTCTTCATAGCGTACGTGGATGTTACAGATTTTGACCTGCAGGTTTTTGATGACCTGAGTGACGAGCTTCTCCACAAAGGTGTCCTGTTTCTCCAGGCCGGGGTTTTCTGTCAAACACAAAACAATACCATGAAGTTCACTTTAAACCTCCACTGTACTTTCACAGTTAGTTTTAGCTCTCATTACTGCTGTTGACTTGTTTTAATGTATTAAACTCTTATTTATTTTTTTCCCTCCATGATTATTTTGGCTTTTTAACTTTTTTTAAAGATTTATTTTTGGGCTTTTTATGCCTTTAATAGAGAGACAGGACAGTGGGTAGAGTTGGAAGTCAGGATGAGAGAGTCGGGCAAGACATGCGGGAAACGAGCCACAGGTGGGATTCAAACCTGGGCTGCCCCTTGGAGGACCAAGGCCTCCATACATGGGACGTGCGCCAACAGCACCCTTATTTTGGGCTTTTATGTCTTTATTTGAAAGACAGAACCAAGGATAGAGACGGTAATCTGGAAGAGAGAAGTGGGGAATTACATGCGGGAAAGGAGCCACAGGTTGGATTCGAACCCAGGCCATCCGCTTTGAGGACGACAGCCCATGTACAGGGGGCGTGCAAACTAACCGCTGGTCCACTGGCGCCCCTCTTGTTTGCTTTAAATACATAACATCATCTGAATGTGAATTTGAATCCTCGTTTAGTTTTTAGATAAATGTTTTTTACAAAGTATTTATGTTGATTATGATTGAATTTAAATGTCATTACATAAACATGCATCACCTGTTTTTACTCTGAATCAACAGTTCATAACTGTCAATGGTTGAAAATGGTTTAGTGAAAATGAAACTAAATTACATATAAAAATGTATGTCAACAAATCTCTTCTTTTTTTTTTTTTGACTGAAACAGACAATGTGCTTACTTTAAGATTTTTATTTCACATACTTTATTAACCCCCTTGTGTTATTTTAGAGACATGCTTCTCACACACATAGGCCCGAATTACACACCAGTGACCAGAGCTGTTCAGGGTTCAGTGCCTTTCTCAAGGGCACCTCAGCAGTACTCAGGAAGTGACCTGGCACCTCTCCAGAAACCAGAACAACTTCCCTATTTTGCTCTACATCAGTACTCGAACGGCAACCCTTCCAGTTCCCAACCCAAGTCTCTACAGACTGAGCGCCCCCCAGATGTTTCAAGCAATAGCTATATTTACACTAACTATAACTGTATTTATGAACTACTGACCTCAATTAGTCTCTACAATCATCAGTGAATATTGCACCTACAGTACATGCTACTACAGTGCTGTTGATAAAATCCCCTTCAGCACTACTTGAAAAGACTACTTTGAATGTTTTCTCAAAACATTTAAATTCTCTGAAGCTAGATATAGCTTTTCTAGCACAGCATATAAACAGATTCATGTGTATCATGGAGCAAATATTGGTATTTACTAATTCTCAAGTTCTAGCATGAAAAAGAGCCAATCTGACAAAGTATAGTGAAACATCCAGTAACAGCACAATAAGCATGCTGGCCACAAGCACACACATCAGCAGAGAAGAACCACAATAAAGTGTGAAAAACTTCTGGCTGCTCCACCACAGGAACTCACAACTACACAAACCATGACCACAGGGCGTCAAATCTCTGCTTTTCCTTTTTTCTTTTTCACACATTTCATGCATGTTTTGTCATTTTTGCTACTACTCTTCTTGTTACCAACCCGACAGTAACAGTGCTTGTTGCTGCTCAGTACTCAAAACCTGTTAAAAGTTAAAGGGAAGTCAAATGTCTGACTTTGTCCAGTCGCACACAGGTAACATTTTCTAACACGTTTACACACAAACCCGTTCAAATCAGGAGGTCTGACCTTGCTCAGCAGCCTTCAGCTTCGTCTCCTCTATTCGCTGTAGTTCCCTCTGACGAGCCTCCTGTAGCTGCTTTTCCTCTTTTTCTGCGTCATACTTTATACCTGGAAGAAATACACAAACAATGTTTACTTACATGCACATCTTTGAGAAACAGTAAAAGACACAGACAGGTACGCTTGAGTTTCCTGTTTGTCCTGACGTGTTCTTTAGGGTCATGAATATTTGAGAGACCTCCTCTGTCTGAGTGTGTGCTACACCATGTTGTGTCTGCATATCATGAGGGTTATTCAATAGACTGAACACGACACATCTAAAAACACTTACGAATATTTTCATTACAATACATGTCTTTAAAAAGACGCTAGATGTAAAATGGGATTAATAAACCGACATTGAAATGCAACAAGTTAGTTAAAAAAAGAAAAATCAGCAGCACATGACTAATCTTTCATGTATTTAACCGTTTAAAGATGTTGGTCTTACTTGCTGTGGGTACTATAAGCAGAAAGACACCGTCCAGTGTCGCCTCCACTGACTGGGTGTAAAGGTTCTTCCAAGGAATCTTAAGCTCCAGCCGTCCTATTAACAAAAACACTGAGTTAAGAAACCCTTCACTTGTCCCATGGTAAAGGTGACAGATGAGAGGAAAAAAAACTCACCTATATGACCGGCTCTGACTTTAAAAGGAATGTCAAGTTGACTCTGCAATGAAAAAGGAGTTAATTCAATGTAACATCAAATGTGTCCCACAGTGAGACAAGATTTATTCATGCAACTTACCAAGGCATTCTCCTTAATTTCAAGATTTCTAAGAACAGCATCACCTGAGAGGGAAGCAAAGGTTGTTTACTGAATGTTACTGTACCCCTCTCACCTTCTTAGACTTTATATGTTGCAGAAACATTTTTGTAAGATTGGAAACTTTCTCCAAAGCAACAGAAACATCTGCCCCCCTCTTCAAAAAACTAAACATTCTTTCAGTTTATGATCTCAATATACATCAGATGTGTGTGTTTAAATATAAATACATGTTCGTACCTTTTTCTTTACCATCATCATTTCAGCATTTTTTTTTTTAAACTGAATTCCCAGATTCATTCATATTCTACCAGACAGATTGATCATCTTCATCTTCCTTTTTATAAAACCAAACACGGTCAGTTTTCAGATATCGTGGGCTACAAATATGGAACTCCAAAAAGTTTTCAAACTTTCACATATATAAAATATATTTATTTTCTTTTTTTTTCCCCATCAACTCACTCATTTCACTCCATTTTTAATTATAGCGGCTTTCCTGAATATGAAGCCGCTGAGAGGCTGAGGTTGGGTCTAATATCTTGTCCAACGTGCTTGCAAAAGAATACTGTGATACGTAAAAAACAAGTTTGACTTTTTTATTAATGTAAAAAAGATAATCAACTTAACTTACACTAACGTGCATTAACTCATAATCACAGTGAACCAGAAACAATAGCGGTCAACAAAAAAATACAGCAACCCGGCTCAACCCCTCTCCTCCACTGAGAACAAAAAGTGAACAGGTGAGTTAAATCAACATGTGACCCGACATCCCCCCAATCAACACAATCCTAATAAATGATATAATAATCAATAACCCAAAACACCAGCATATAACAAACTACCTTAACCTTAAATAAACACCACAAAGATAATTATACCCATCCACGGCTCCAACATTAATAGATTAATGTCTGTTTCATTTAGCTGATGGAGGGTTAACATTCTCAGTCTTTCTATTGTATACGTGTGTAAGTGTGTGTGTATGAATACGTGTATAGGTTACTGTACATGTGCTCATATCTAATTGTGTAATTGGATTTGTTTATTTGATTTATTTGTCTCTTAAGAGGTGAGGTCCCTTCCTGACACACCTTTTATATTTTTGTTAATCCTATTTTGATCTCTTCTTACATGTGTGCTAATGAATAAATAAAATACTATAACACCAATACTAATAAGCCAAATACAATTAGGCTTTATGGTGCGACACTTATCTTAATAACATGTAATTAAACACTCAGTGGAGTTACAGGTGTTATTGTCCTGACAGGTTTGGAGATGTAACAAGTTGGCACACATCAAACTGTGGCCCTAAAACATCTCCTCTAATCCCATCCTCCATCCGGACAGTGTACAAAGCTGTTCCCTGCAGACTTTCCTTATAAGCTTGTAGAAAGGTTTCAGAATGACACAAACTGGTGAGTCATAAATTGAGTTTATGACAAGGTGTGACCACGAACTCCCATGAGCCTCACAGTAAGAAGAAAAAAGCGGGTTTGTTAAGAATAAAGAGAATAAAGCAGTCATTAATGAATAATGCTTTGTGTAAACTAACACCCGGCTGCACAAACGTGCTCACATTTGACGTTGTTGGATAATTTAACAGAATGCAAACAGCTGAGGGAGCCTGACACGCACACGGCTGGTGGCTAGCGTCTATTAGCATCGGCTACCTAGCATTTTGAGACGAGCGAGTCCCACTAAATGACAGTCAACAGTTCAGTTACCTCCCCAGATGCCGAGTTTCAGCTGCGAGCTGTCGAGGTTCACAACGTAGTCCCCTAAAAACCGGTTGAGGACGTCAACCACCAAGCTTTCGAAGACCATTTTGACGCGACTCTCATCTACCTGTCACCATGTTTACATCCTTCAGGACTCGCTCGCCTCAACGTTACGGCGGGCGGTGCTATGACGTCATGACGTACCTCCAATTAAAATCAGCGCAACTCAATTCAATTCAAAAAACTTTATTTGGGGGGCACACGGCGCAGTAAATTAACAACAGTGCGAGTACGAAACATTTTCACCTAAATATTAAGTGTCGATTTAAATACAACTTAAAGCTTAAACTTAAATTAAAAACAGAAGTAATAACAGTACAAATAAATCTACTGTTATCTATGAGTAACAGCTACTTATGCACATGGACCATCCATAACACTTTTTTTAACCTGGCTATGTTTTGTGGGTTCATGTTTTTTGTATGGGTGGGATATGTTTGTATATATGTGTTGTGTGTTTGTGTGTATATATGTGTTGTGTTGTGTGTTTGTGTGTATATATGTGTTGTGTTGTGTGTTTGTATGTATGCTGGCTGCTGGAACACCTACATTTCCCTGCTGGGATGTAAGTTTGTCTTATCTTATCTTATGTTTATCTTAATATAAAAGAGTAGATATGAGTGGACAGTGATCGGACTAACAGAAACAGAACTATGTGCAGTAAACGATAAATAAATATATATACATACAGACCTATGTGCAGGTATGCTAAATAGTAGATACTAAATGATAAGTTATAAGGTGCATGGTGAATAATGGAACAACAGAACTAATATAAACAATATAACTGTAAAGGTAAAAATGAGATAAATAAAGTGACCGTAGTGCAATGATGGATAAGAAACAAGAGGAATAAGTAACCAGAACTGTATGAATACTCGTCATGTTATTTAAGCCGTGCCTAGGCCTATATAAAAATGAAAAACTGGCACCATAAAATGCAAACAAGTGCTGAAACGACAACAAAATGCGTGTAGCTTGCCTAAACACCCCAAATATGACCATATCAATGGATTATATTGTCTCTCCGAGTATCAGAAAGGAGACAATTCAGTTTGTCTTACTGTCCCTTCTCATTTTGTTGTCTGTCTTTGAGAGGTAACACCATTGAATGTACTCTTATATTTACTCGATGGAATCAAAGGGTAAGATAATAATTAGACCGTAAAATATTAAAACAAGCCATTCAAAACTTTGACCTCTTTAGTGTGCCTGACATAATGCCTATGTGTAGAAGATCTCACAGTTTCCCTACTCCTTGTATGAATGCCTCACATCTTAGCTTATAACCGGTGTTACGGTGTAAAGAGTTACCATGTTAACTGGCGACTATCAATTCTACAATTCTACAATTAATTTAGCAGACGCTGTTATCCAAAGCGACGTACATCAGAGAGTAAGTACAACACAAGCAAGGATCTAGAAAAAAGGGAACAATGTCAGTAAGAGCAAACGATCAGCTTTGAGTCTGATTGGACACACAGGAGCTGACAGGAAGTGACCAGAGGCAAAGCACAACATTGAGGCAGTTCTTGAGAGCTCTAATCTGTATAGAAACCATCTTATAAGTCGTCGTTATCAAACAAAAACCATCGTCATTACCATCATCATCATCAATAATATGGAGACCATCATCATTAAGTTAGTAGGTATTCATGAAAGAGCTGGGTCTTTAGCTTTTTCTTAAAGGTGCAGAGGGACTCTGCAGATCACATGGAGTTTGGAAGTTCAGGTCGATCAGCCTTTGGTTGTTTTAGTCACAACAGATGTGGAAAACAAAGTGTCCTCATGAATGCCTCGTTGTCTAATCATTTGTTATGTACATTTTTGACATTATAAGATACAATTAACAAAGAGTCATTCACAAAGATGCTTTACGTTTTCAACATCTGTTGTAACGACGACAACGCATTTGTCGGAGAGTCTTCAATTTACACGGTAGCTTGTAAAACCGTAACACCTGTGTAGACTTTCGTGTTAATAGGCCCTCGTTTAGTAGGCCTGTTTCTGTACGGATTCTTATTAATATCAAATATTATATCATATATTAAACCTGTTGGCAGTGTATCCCAGCAGCTTTTAGACATTGTGTTGTTGTCTGCCAGCAGAGGGAAGAGACAAGAAGGCACCTTCATGTAATACAAAGTAATTGGTGATCCGTGTCAGGGCAGGTCTTCATTGATTAGTTTACCCACATTTACCCGCTGACTGAGGTAAAGAGAGGAAGTTAAAGGTAAAACAAAGTTCAGTGCCCTTTTGAATGCCTAGGCATGTGAAGACAATACAGTTAAATCCGGACTGATAGGGGACACACCACATTCACAAATTCCAAACCTGTGACTTGATGAAATCAAAACAGTTCCTTGAAATAAAATTTAACAGCTGTTCTCACCAAAATGTAAAGGTATACCTCCGTTTGAATCTCTGATTTCTTTTTGTTTAAGCTCCAAAGCATGTGAAGTCATATTAAAGGGAATATATAACCACTAAACCCCCAAATATCAACATTTAAAAAAGCATAAATGTAGTTAGGAAAGAGGAAAAAATATACTTAGAAAAACTGTGATGTTGTCATACGAAGGAGTTACTATTTCTACTCTCAGTTATCTTGGTTTCAACATGACAATCAAGCCAATAACATTTTATCGTGCATCTGTGCTGCTTTATCTTAACCATGAAAATAAACACCTTTCCATTAAAGTTCATGATTCACTTCTTTATTACACTGAAGCTAAAACACACATTTTATTAGTATAACAAAAAAATCGAGAAAGCATTGAGGAACCTTCATGACAGTTTAAAATCAGTATTATGAAATCTGCTTGTTATACTGATCACAACTTCTGATAACAAGCAAAATACAAACTTATGTAATCCTGTATCTCTCCATTGTGTTTCATTCTTTAACAAAGGTTTCCTCCTCATTCAACTTGCAGATCTGGAACTTATCTGTGTCACGTGTTTCCTCTGGTGCAGTCAGAGAGTTACATGCAGAACAAGGTAAACCAACACAAACATGCTACATATCACACTGCTGTTTGGTCGGTGGTTGACAAAGCTTTTTGGTGAGGGTTGGACTTTTTGGAGTTTAAGAAATATAACAAACATACATTGAAATCCCTAACAACTATGATTTACATCTTTAAGAAAAACTGCTCCTTGTTACCTAATATTTAATCATCTTGGAACATTTCCAAAAACAGTAAACATAAGTTTGGTAACTAAATAGTCCTGTATTTTACTAAATTTCTTACAATTTCTTTTGCAATATTCTGATAATATCAATATGGAATGCTGTTGACAAAATTCAATGTTCTATATTCCCAGCAAATTTTGCAAAATGTTTGTTTTTCACTATATTTTTTGGGGCATTTTTGCCTTTATTAGATAAGATAGCTGAAGAGCGACAGGAAATGATGGGAGGAGAGAGTGGGGGACGACATGCAGCAAAGGGCGGAGGTCAGATTCAAACCCATGGAAGACTATTGCCTCTGTACATGGGGCGTGCATCATAACCACTAGGGTATCGGCGCCCTTGCAAAATAGGTTTTTAATCTACCCATGTTTAAGATCGAGTAGCTGAGACAGCGGTGTGGTGATCAGTCCGATCACAACCCCTCTCCTCTGTGCTGCAGCCGCAGGCTTATCCATCACTTTCAACCTGAGCTGCAGCTCCACCAGATCCTCTCTACTGAGCTTTGAGAAGAAGAAATCCTCATTAAACACAGGGCTGCGGCAGTTCCTGATGCTGGTGCTCTCCTGTTGCTGAAGCATCCCGGGGGTCAGACACAGACTCAGCGCACAGTTCAGGGCCCGTCGATCAGTCTGGTTATATATACCTTCCACAGACATCACACGGATTCTGACTGTGGAAAAGTACGAGTTATTACTGGGGGAGGATGTGGTGAGCTCAGCGAGGAGGTGCACTTTACCTCGCCCGTTCAAAGAGAGGAGATGCTCTCGCTGGTCGTGCAGAGGGAAGGGGACAGACGGGGCTGAGGCCAGAAAGCCTCCCTCTAATTTTGGAGGGCTACTTGGAGAGGTGGTCAGACTTAGAAACCCCATCTTCCTCTTCCACCTCCCTCTATCCTCCCTGTTGTCAATCAAAGAAGGACAGGATGTTGCTCCCTTGAGACGGCCTCTGTAGAGGGAGGATTTCGCGCTGTAGGGTGAACTGAGGGGAGAGGAGTCGCTGGAAGAATGCGTTTCACTTTCTGTGCTTCCCGTCTCAGACAGGCTCTTGCACAAAAACAGAGGGAGGAACCCTGATGAAGTCTTCTTCTGCTGGTACTTCTCCTCTGACAGCTTTGGTGGAACGCTTCTATCCAACATGTAAGCGGGGCACTTTGAGTGGTGGAACAAAGACTCTTTCCTCCGTGTGTTTGGACGCTCATACATCCCGACCAGGCCGTATGCCTCTGCAGAAAACGGCAAGGGCTTCTTCCTTTGTAAAGCCGCCGACGCTTCTCCATGTTTCTTCTTCATATCCTCCTTCCTTGTGGCGTTTGAAGAAGAAGTGCTACTCTTAGGTGTCTGACTGTGCTGCAGAGATGCCATAGTTTCCACTTCCTGCAGCAGGTTCCTCTTGCAAAGCCGCGGCGGCAGGCAGAACTCGGGGATCTTGTCTGGGGTGAGGATGTTGTTCGGCAGATTGTGAGTGAGACTGGCTTTAGAGTCCTCCTCGCTCTTCTCCATGTAGCGACTCAGCTCAAGAGGAATGCTCTCCATGCTCTCCCGGATCTTTCCGATGAACCACATGGTTGTTTTTTGGGTGAAAAAGGAGTGTAAGG